TAGCTGCTCAGAAGTCCCTTCTTTATTGTTTTCGATAAACTTCAAATTACTAATAATTTCATCACTAATTATACAACTAATTAGTGATTTCAGATCAGCAATTTTGTCATCAGCCAAATATGTTCTTTTGTTTCAACTCTTCTATAAATTTTTAAGTTCTGGCATCCTATGTTTAATTTCTGAGAACTATTTCTTATTCTCCCATTGCTCCCTTTCCATAACAGTCTTTATATTACAGATGCAGTATCCTTTCAAGTGTCTGAGATTACTAATTAGAAAAAAAGTATGAAAGTTTCTGGTTTTTTCATTGTTTCTAGGTTGTGTGTTCTGTTTATTCACCTCAGTCTTTCTCTTTGATGCTTTAATTTTATTTATTTCAGAAGAACTTTGGTTGCCTTTTCAGATTTATGAAGTGTTATATCGTTAGTATAATTATCTGGTTTGGGTTTCCTTTGCAATTGGGTAGATCTGTTTAACCAAAGTCCTGCACTTGAATGGGAGGAGATTAAGGCCAGCAGACTCTGCAATAGTGGGCTGGTCCTATAGATGGATTTTCCCTTTAAGGATGCTTGAATAGGGAATAGGTAACACTTTTATTTATCATAGCAATGAGTTCTTTGCTCTGGTTGCAGAGATTTTTACTCAATGTTATTTCTAGAAAGACCTGCTTTTCATATTCTTCTAAGTCTTTCCTACATGCAGTCTGGAGTTTCTTGAAGCCCCTGCTGTGTCTTCTCCCTAGCTTTAACTCCCATATCCTAGGGTCTCTCCTGGCAAATCTACATTGTAAAGAAGTTCTCAAGGATACAAATGGGGGCAAACTACAACCAGCTGCTCTCTCTGTTTACAAGGAGTGGGCTGGGGGTGGGAAGGAGGGGCGCACTGCCCTAGCCACTCAATTGTGGCCACAGAATGGCCATCACCTGGAAGTTTGTTAGAAATGCAGACTCTGGGGCCTCACCCCAGGCTTCTTCAGTGGGAACTGGTATGTTTAACAGGACCTTCAGATGATTGGTGTGGACTTTAAGGTTTGAAAATCCTTGTTGTATATAATCACTAAGTAATTACTCTGCTCTTGCTGCTCTCTACCCCCATCTACTTCAAAAGTAAGACTATCTTGGGTGCCACTCAGAAGCCTTCAGGAATTTCCTCCTCCATTTTTTTTTTTTTTTTTTTTTTTTTTTTGTGAGACAGAGTCTTGCTCTGTGGCCCAGCCAGGGTGCAGTGGCCTCATTGTAGCTCACTGCAACCTCAAACTCCTGACCTCAAGCAATCCTCCCCCCTTGGCCTCCCAAAGCCACAGCACCTGGCCTCCGCCTCCATTTTCTAAGGTCAGCATTATTAGAAAGAGAAATTAATTCATATCCACAATCCCAACAAGATCTGATCCTTTTCTAGTGACATTATCTATCTCTTGCTTCTCTCACAGAATCCCCTAGTTTTTTAAATTTTTAAATATTTAATGTAAATTCTAGGATTCAATATAATTTAAAGAAGGTTGTGGTGGAGTATTTGTGTGGAAGGGGGTGAAATCCATAAGACTAAAAGCATTTTATGCCAATGCTTTAAACAACTGTTTTACATCAGTATATACAGTAGAAAAACCTGGAAATATGCTTTAATTCTTATGTTTGTTCCTATATTTATTCATTCATGAGAAATTTATTCCCATTATAGCCTTACTCTCTTCTATCTTTAATGCTATTGTGGTGATATATTTTATTTTACATATCTTATATATTTAACAATATTTTATTATTTTTGCTTTGATTTGTCAGTAGTCTTCAGTAAAAAGTAAAAAACTATAGTTGATAATATTTCTCCACATATTTAACTTTTACAGTGCTCTTCATTCCTTCTAGCAGATTCAGGTTACCATGTGGGATTATTTCCCTTCAGGTTCATTTATTCCTTTGTCTATTCCCATAATGTGCAACCACCACTTCATGTGAAAGTCTCCTCTAGTATTTGCTTACTGTGGAAGATCTTAACTCTCTCTGGAATTTGTTCCTTTATATTTCTCTGTCTTCAGAGTTCTCTCACATTTAAGGAAAACTATGGGTTTTTAACTTCATCAGTATTTTGTTTGTTTTTGATAGGAGTGAAAGTCTTTCTAATCTGCTGCTGAACCTCATTGATCACATATTTATACTTTTTTGGCTATTTCTCCATGCTTCCAGCTTCACCCAGCCTAGAGAATATCCTTTAATAGTTCTTGAAGTGTGTGTCTACGGACAATAAATTCTCTCAGCTCTAGTTATCTTGAAATGTCCTCATTTCATCTTCATTTTAAAAATAAATGTTCAATGGATATAGAATTCTAAATGGAAGGCTTTTGGGTCAGTATTCCAAAGATGTCATTCCATTGGATTATAGCTTCCCTTGTTTCTGTTGGAAAGTTAATGATTATTTTTTAATGTTGTTCTTCTGAAGATAATGTGCCTTTTTTCACTGGTTGCTTTTGAAATTTTCTCCTTTCATTTTCAGCAGTTTGGTTCTGATATACCTTAGTGAAGTTTTCTTTGGTTTATCCTATGTGGTAGTAGAAGAACTGCTTAAATCTGTGAGTTGCTGTATTTTATCAGATTTGAAAACTTTTTAACTATTTTAAAAAGTAATATTTCTGTTACATGTTCTCTTACCTGTTGTTTTGGGATTTTTGTTCATATCTCATGTCTCTCATACATCATACATCCTGTTCTTTCTATTTTTCTCCCTCTCTGTGCTTCAATTTGAATGTTTTCAGTTGATCTGTTTTCATTCCCATCTATCCTGTCTTCTGCTGTGTCCAGTCTGCTGTTAAACAAATCTAATGAGTTCTTAATTTCAGATATTAGTATTTTATGATTCTGAAAGTTTCATCTGATTTGTTATAATAGATTCTAATTCTCTGTTAAAATAATGCATCTTTTAATCCATTTTGTCTACCTTTTTTTCTATTTTCTTTAGCATATCAATCATAATTATTTCAGAGTTTTTGTCTGTCAATAATGGGAACATCTCTGAGTCTATATCTATTGACTATTTTATCTCTTGATTATTGGTCACTTTTTCTTCTTTGCATTTGTATTAGTTTTTATTTTATGCTGGACATTATGGATGATATGTTGTACAGGCTTATGCACACATAAAGGGTTTTGATCTGGTAGGCAGTTAAATTACTGGTGGATCACTCTGATCTTTTTGAGGTATGGTTTTAGGTTTCCCTAGGATGTTTCCATTTCTGTTTTGTCCTTACTCTTAGAGTGTAGACAATATGATGGCAGCTCCTATGGTGTTACCTTTATTCCTAGAGTATGGCTTTTCTGCAGTTTAATCTAAAAGCCCAGGGTGTTCATCAAAGTCTGTTTATTCAGGCTGGGCCCAAACACCAATTATCTCTCCATAGAACTTTGCAATCTTCATAATGTTTCATCAATTCTGAGGCTTGCTGTTCTCTGTAAGCCTCTAGGACTCTTGGCTAAATTTGTAGGGCCCAGGAGTTGACCAAGCATTAAAGTAGAATTTCCATGAAGACTTTTTTGGGATTTTCCCTCTGAGGCTCCCCTTCTTGACAGACATCCTGCCAATACTGACCACTTTTGCATCCATAATCTCCAATCCCTGTCTTTTCCATTTAGAAACTCCTCCTCCTTGCAGTGTGGCCTAGACAATGTTCCTAGCAAGATAACTTGAGCCAATATGGGGCTGTGATAATGGATTGACCCAGTGATGCTTAATTCAGATTAGCTACTTATGTTTTCTCATAGGTTTGGCTTAGATCTTCTGCCTTATTCACATACAGATAACTTTTAGGGTAAAACCTATCTTTTAGCAACATTAGAGAGTTATTGAAAGTTTACTATGTGCCAACTACTTTTTATGTAATGTATCTCTTTTAATCTCCATGACAAGCACATAAGAAATAATAATAAAAGTGGAGAAGAAAGAAAGAATAATAGTTAGTATTTATACAGTATTACCAAGTGCCAGACATTGTTCTGAGCATTTTATATGTCCGTATGTATATACATACATATTCATTTAATCCTCACATCAACCTTATAGATAGGTACTATTTTATTATTCCTGCTTTATAAATGGAGAATCTGAGAAATTATAGGGATTAAGTAACTCCTTCTTCTCCCCCCAAAGACACACAATATATATGAATGGTAGAATTCAGAATTCAAATTTAGTCAGGTTGGTTCCAGAATTTGTGCTCTAATCACTTCACTATTGGTGATTTATGCTCACATTACAGAGAAGAGAACTGAATTTTAGAAAGGTTAGGGATCTCCCCAGTGTCTTAGTGCTAGTAAGTAGCAGCATGAGGGTTTGAACAAGACTCCAAAGCCCTTGCTCTTTGCTCTAGACCACTCTTCTTTCTAAAGGAGAGAAGAAAAAAGTTTTCACTTTTAGCACATTACTTTTAGGATTTTGTGAGGACTTGAGAGACAACCAAATAGCTTCCTTTTGTTTTTAAAGAAGATGGTATCTTCTTATGCATATGGTCTATTGACCAATTTATGGCCAGGACCTGGAACGGGGTTGTTTTTCCCATTGACATGTGTTATTTTTAATACCTCTAAGGCTAACTCTTAGGGAAGTATATTGACAATTCCATGAGTGCCTGCTTTGAAGGTGGAAAAATGGCAGAGCTCAACCTCGAGGTTCTCTGCCTACACTGGGGACACATCATGCTCAACCGACTCGTGCACTTCAGGCACAAGCACCTGTGTTCCTTTGGTGTCTCAAGCATTTGCTAGCCAGAAACAGGGCCCTTGAGAGGGTCTGAGAAACAGCATATTTGTTTTGTTAAGACTTCCAGGCTCAGACTGGGAGAGGGAGTTTGTTCCTTTGTTGGGGATATTAGACCCAGTTACTCCCTTGTGCTGTGCAGGGTGTTTACACGGTGAGCCTGGAGTGCTATGGAGGCTGTAGGGTGCATTCTGCTGTAGGAGCCACACAGAACCCAGGGGTCTCACCTAATCTCTGACACTGACCACCCTTCTTTGCAGTGTGGAGGCTGCCAGCATCGGGTTCGTCATTGTTATCGACCGACGAAGGGACAAGTGGAGCTCCATAAAGGCATCCTTGACACGAATAGCCGTAAATATTTTTTTTCTTGTTATTATTATAAAAGTCACTTAAACTATCTATTCAAGTATTTCATGTTAAAGTCCTGGGGAAAAAGCAATTATGTCATATTTTGGGAAGAAGCTCTTTGTAGCAGGCACTGTTGTGTCTTGTCCATATCTCCTCTGCTACCTGAAGGTCACCTACAGACAATTCCTGAGCATGTCAAAGGCTTCATGAGTCTCTTTACCTTATTGACCTCTCTGGTCACTGAAGAGGGACAGGCAGGGAGTGCTGGGAAGTTTCAGGAATAATCTGTGACCATTGAGTTCCAGGAGTTGATGGATAAATATTCCAGCTTCTGTACCCCTCAGTGAGACAATTCTGAGGTGTGTTCCACACAGTATCTCAGAGGGTCTCAGCCCGTTTTGCCTATAGCAATAACCCCCTAATTGATACACTAGCTCTCTCTTTTCCTCGTTGTCTTTCTCATTTTGTTTCCTGGAATCACCTCCCCAACAAACTATTAAATACTTATACCCAAATCTTTGTCCTGAGGGTTTGCTTTGAGGGCAACTCAATTTAAGACAGTCTTTATTTCAGTTTTCAAATTACTTTTTTCACAGATTAGAAGGACAATGGCAAAACCAGACTGAATGATATTTAAGTAGCTCGATTGGAGGTGCACTTGCATTTGGCATTAAATCATACAATTTTGGATGGGCTTCCTTTTCCTTATTAGTCTGACTTTGATCCATGTTTGTTGCCTTTTGGCAAATAGATGGATCCTCCCTCTGTGGGGACCTCAGACCTGTCAATTCAGCCACATGGTCAAGCAGAGATGCCTGAGGGCCAGCACATCAGCATTTTTACCTGAGCACACACTTGCATATACCCACTTACAGAAGCAGTCATACATACAGACTTGCACACACGCACACACAGTCCCTTTCGGATTGCTTTAGAGCCCCATCCAGATTCACTAATTGTGTCTCAGCTGATTTATTCTGTCATGACATAACAAAATACAGTATTCATCTGTTTAGGATCTTGCATTTCAAAGATAGGAGAAGGGAATACTCCCTTCTGTTTCTGCATAGATTTTTAGGTCCCTTTAATTTAGTTTTGGTTACAGAATTTATCTTTGGGATCATTGCAACTGTGGTTGATGCCCATGACTATTCCAGTGGTCTGGCTTCTAGAGTGTTCTGGTTTTCCAGGATTCATAGACAATATTTGAATAATGTAATATTTGAGCCTAGTTTGTCCCAGAGTTACATTTGTCACTTTATGTGCAAAATATGCTGTAGTGCAAGAATCACAAAATCTATCAGAATCTCCTCAAGTGCTTGTTGAAAATACAATAGCTAGATTTCATCCCAGTGCTAATGAGTCATAATACTCTAGAGTAAAAGACCAGATTTTTTTTTTTTAAATTAGCAACTTAGGAGGTTGTTTTGGGGAATCTCTGGAAGAGCAGAAAGCCATGGGCAGTTCCCATGGAGACTCAGGTTCCTAAATGTACCACTGAGGAGTCATATGAATCTAGGCAATCTCTGCTCAGGACCTCACCTCAAGATGAGGGGAATACTTTCTGAAAGCAACTTGATAATAATATGCATCAAAATGCTTAAAATACTAATTCTTTGATTCAGTACTTCTTCTAGAAATCTATCCTAAGAAAATATTCCAAAATGTGATAAAGTTGTTCATGTCAGAGTTATTTATAATAGCAAAATTATCAAAAAGCCTAAGTGACTAGCAATCCCAATAAAGGATTGGTTAAATAAGCTGCATACCCATAAAATTAATATTTCCAAAGACTTTATTAATAACAGGAATAAAAGCTCATGGTATAATGTTAAGTGAAAAGGCAGGTTACAAAGTATTTCCACAGTATGAGTTTAACCATGATAAAGACATTTAAACAAAGAAAACAGCCCATAAGTAAATAAATTGAAATACTTATGGTTGTGAGATCATAGATGAATTTTCTTTTTCTAATATATACTTTTATTAATTTTTAAATTTTTCTATGAAGAATATGAATTATTTCTATAATCAGAAAATTTTTCTGATTATAGTTGGTTTGCTTTGGTTTTTCAGAAGGGGTTTGGATTATCTGACCTCTGAGGTCTCTTTTAGCTCTGAAATCCTGTGAAACCTACATCCATGGTGTCTACTTTAACTTTTTCTCTGTAGTCTTGGGCAAGAGGAGACCAGAGCAGACCGTGATAATGGGCATGACATTTTCTCTCGCCTCCCTGCTGATGTTTTTCATGATCCTTCCAGGTGGCATTTCCAGGAAATTTACAGCTCATATTCATCCTTCGTCCATCCTGCTTTATCCAGAGGACATTCACTGACATTGGCATTAAATACTATCGAGACGAATTTAAAATGAAAGTGCCGGTAAGCATGACCTTTCACCTTATCTCCGTTTGGCTAGGGCATCTGGAAAAGATGGCATTTGAGCAGGGTTTCTAAGAAAAGTCCGATTCAACAGGCGGAGAGAGAGAGGAGGGCATTCTGGGCTGAGGGAACAGCACAGGGAAAGGCAGAGGCAGGAAGTGCACATTTGATGTGAGGTCTTTGGGAAGATACATTTTTGTTGGAGTACGTAGACTGTAATCTTTTAGAAGTGAGGTAGAAACATGGAATGGGTCGTCAATGTGAGGATACAGGGTCTGGGTTTTATTCATTAGGCACTGGGGATCCAGGGAAGGTTTTCTAGGTGGGGAGTGACATGGTAAAGTGAGACTGGAGTTATATCAATCCAACGGCGGCATCTAAGAATGTAGAAAGAGATTGAAGGAGGAAGCTAAATTGTACAGATGAAACAAACTACAGATCTAAACTATGGGGTGACATAAATATAGGAAACTGTACAGTAAAAATTAAATTCAACATTGTGATTCTCAGAAAAACAAAAAGATTCAAAATTTTACCACAACTTTGGCAAGCAGATATGGGGAAATAGGTATTCTTATACTTTGCTGGTAGGAATGGAGTTGGTAAGATAAATGCAATGATAAAGTTGATGCAACCATAATAGAAATGAGGCTTGGAAGGAAGAAGTTTATTATATTCACATTCTCAGAGGCAAAGGTCACCTCCTGCCAAACAGAGCCACAGGGGAAGCAGCAGGTTTTGGTCAGGAGGCAGAGGCAGGTGCAAGGGGAAAGGCTAGGCCACAACTGTTAGTGGGGTTTCTGTGGGGAGGAAGAACAGGGGGGATAGCTTAGCATTGGCTAGTTTGAATAATCCCTGCAAGCTTTGGGGCATAGAGGTGGTCTCTGGTTACCTGGCTTCTGACCCTGGGAAGATTTAGGGGAAAGGAAATATTGGCTTAGAATGCGAGAGTTTGGTAAGGAGATGCTTGGGGACTTGGAGTTGAGGTTGGTTGTTGTGCTCCCACCTGGGCCCTTTGCTGTCTCTAAATGGCTAGTCCTGGCAGGGCCAATGTCTTCCCAGTCATGAGACAATGAGTACAAGAGCATCAAGAAGACAGAAAACAAGAAAATGTAGTTCACATAACTGACTCTGTGATGAAAGGATGCCAAATAGACAAACACAGAATCTAAGAAAACACAGAACAACTATTTTAAGGCCAGTTTTATATGCTCAGTGTGTCCTGTGAGTTTGACAAGCAAAATTATTCTGTTTTTTTCCTTTTCTACTAATATATAGAATTTTAAAACCTTTTTAAAAGCTCTATCCTGTAGAGACTAAAAGAGGGGAAAAGATTTTGTGGTGAAACTGCCTTTCCTTTATTTTTGAAATTACATGTGATTTACTCTTTTTGGTGTACAGTTTTATGGTTTTTGACAAATGCATGGATTTATTTAATCACCACTACAGTCAAGATGCAGAATGGTTCCATCCTCCCCTAAAACTTCCACATGCTGCCCCTTCATAGTCAACCCCTCTTCCCAGCCCTCACCTCTGGCAGCCACTGATCTGCCCTCCATCTCTACAGTTTTTCCAAGAGTCATGCACATGGACTTCCAATCATGCACCGCATAAGGATGTTTCATGTTAAAGAAGTACCAGTTAATCCATTCACCGGGAAAGAACATTTGAGTTGTTTCTAGTTTTTAGTGATTAAGAATAAAAGCTGATATTCACGTACAGATTTTTGCTAGGCCAAAGAGTATTAAATAGATATACGTTTAACTTTATAAGAAAATGCCAAACTGTTTTGCAAAGTGGTTCTACCGTTTTGCATTCCCAAAAGCAATGCATGAGAATTCTAGCTGCTCCATAGTTTTGCCAATTTGCTAAAAACAGGGTAATTAATTTTTTTTTTTATCTATTCTAGTAGGTGTGTCATGGTATCTCCCTGTGGTTTTAATTTGCAGTTCCCTAATGACTAATGATATTGAGCCTCTTTTCTTGTATTTATTTTCCATCTGCCTATCTTCTTTGGTGAAGCTACTATTGAAATCCTTTGCTCATTTTTAGCTGGGTTCTTTCCTTATTGTTAAGTTTTGAGAGTTCTTTATATATTCTGAATATAAGTCATTGTCAGATATATGACTTGCAAATGTTTTCTTCTAGTTTGTAGGTTGTACCTTCATTCTTTTAACAATGTCTTCTATAGAGCAAGTGTTTTTAATTTGATGAAATCTAGTTTATCAGTTTTTCTTTTATGGGTTGTGCTTTTGGTGTCCTATCTCAGAACTCTTTGCCCAACCCAAAGATTTTGCCTAAGATTTTTCTGGGAAAACACTTTCTCCACTCACATAGCATTTCTGACACTTAATGTATAGTGTGGGTTTATTCCACACCAAGCAATTCTCCAGCTCTCTGGACATAAATAATCCTGGTGTTCTACAATTTAGTTCAGTTCAGACACTGATTTTAGAATAAGATCCCACAAATTAAGGAGTCGGTGCCACAAGACTTCCCCCACTTCAGATGCCAATAAGTCTGGGTAGGAATTCTGTACTTCTGACCTACTGGCTATAAATTAGGAGGTTCCCACAGACCCCTCTTTGGGTTCTATAATGATTCTCAGAACTAATGGGAAACACTTTACTTATGTATATTGATTTATTATAAAGGATACAACTCAGAACAACCAAAAAAAAAAGAGGGCACATAGGGCAAAGTGGGGGGGGGGCATGGAGCTTCTATGCCCTCTCTAGGTGTGCCACCCACCCAGCACCTTGGTATGTTTACCAACCTGGAAGTAGTGGGTGGGTCCGAAACTTATAATCACTTATAATTTATCACTTATAATCACTTGGTCTTCCTGGTAACCAGCCCATCCTGAAGCTATCTAGGTTTCCCACACTGAGTCTCCTTATTAGCATAAACTCTGGTGTGACTAAAACAGACTCATTATGAATAACAAAAGATACTTCTGTCTCTCAGGAAATTAGGCAGGTTTTAGGAGCTCTGTGCCAAGGAATCAGGGATAAAGGCCAAATAAAGTTTTTTATTATACTACAGTTTTGTTCTAAATTCTCTTCCAAGTTTTATGTTTTACATTTATATCTGTGAACTATTTTGAATTAATTTTTGGATAGATGTGAAGAGTGTTAATCTAAATAACAGAGAGGGTCTCTCAAATAAAAGGGTTTTATTCAGGAACAGGACATTGCAATGGAAACAGTGTGCCATTGTATTCAGGAAGGTAAAGGGAGACAAATTTTTTTTGTTTTGGAGACAAATATTTTTAAAGGAAAAATGAGAAGGATTACATAATTATTTTGAGATAATTATCCTTGGCTACAAGGATCAATAACAAGGGTGATGCCAGTCCAAGGCTGGACAGGGAGTTGCTGGGGAGATGTCTTCCCAGAAGCATTTTTTGTGTAAGGTTAAGAAACCTTTGCTCAACGTTGTGGTTTTTGCAGTGTTTTGTTGTTAGGCATACAAATGTGAGAACCATCTCTTCGCGACTTCCCTGTAACAGTGGAAGGGAGGCTTAGCCTGACTAGCTCCATTTTGCTCCTGACCTCCCACAGTAATATACTTTAGGTTAAAAGCTTCTGCTTAGCTCTGCACACAGACCAGGTAATTATAGGAAGAATTTAGTTTGTAGAGGAAAAATGATAACCATCTTTTTCCCAAAACTAATTCCAGGGGAGACAAAGAGTATGCACACAGGTAACAATGCTATGTTAAAGACAGTGACCTGACCTACTCATCCAAAGTTAACTGACTGAGAGCAAAGAAATTTTACTACCTCCTCAGACCCTCACTGATGCCCAGAAGTCTGCAGTCCTCACTTACCTCTTGCAAGCCCTCTCCCCTTCCCTAACATAAAAAGGAGCCTACAGTTCATACGAACTTAAGATGATTCTTTAGGACATTAGCCCACCATCTTCTTGATTTGCTGGCTCTCCAAATAAAAGCTGCTTTCCTTGCCCCAACACGTTGTCTCTCAACTTATTGGTTGTCCTGTGGCAAATGGTATACGCTTGGACTCAGTTACATCCCTGGCTCTATTTGTTAGATTTTTGTTTTGTTTTGTTTTAACATTAGTGATTCCATTTTGATTATGGCAACTTTCTCAAGTGTGGCTCCAGGTTCCTTTTTTTGCATATGAATGTCCAGTTTTTCCAGCACCATTTGTTGTCAATAGAATTATTTTTCCATTGAATTGTTTTTACACCTTTGTAAAAAATCAGATTAGTGTTTGCCAGGGTTCAGGGATGGTGGGGAGGGAAAGTGGCAGTGCAGGGGAGATCTTTGCGGTGATGGAATAGTTCTGCGTGTCAATTGTGCTGGTGGTTACATGACCCACACGTGGGGTTGGGGGGAGTGACGTAGAACTACACTAACACATTACAAATTCCTGGTGGATATTATACTATAATTATTTAGTTAAATGGAATAGAAAATATGCAGCCTGGCAGAATAAGTTTCTGAAATTCCAGGGCTTGGGGCAAAGTTACTCCTGCCTGATTGTGATATTGTACATTGGTATTTTTTAGAAAATTCAAGTATTACTGTAAGAAGTAATGTTTCAAGAAGCAAAATACACTTTTATTAAAATAACTCGATAATTTCTTATTACCTGTCCTATAATTTCTAATTTTAGAAAGATTAAAAACCTTTTTGAAACTCCTCAGATCTCAGTCCCAAACTGTTTTCAGAAGCAAAGGAGAAGGAGTAAGCCATGGGGCCTGACAAGGTTAGGGTGGTGACAGATAACAATCAGACTCCACTGGACCTAAGTTCCTCAAGGGCAGGGCCTGGCAGGCTTCCTATTTTATCCCCCAGTGCCTGGCATTTATTAGCAGTTCGATACATATCTGTTGAAAGAATAAATCTGTTTTGTTGTACAATTCTGTTTTTGCCTATAGACTGTGGGCCCTAATTTATATATTCTTCTCATTCCACAGTGGATTTACCACTTGACTAATACTGTGTGATAATAGCAGAAAGTCTATGTTCTCATATCCTCTGACCAAGAATCAATTTTCAGAATAATCTACAAGGAGTAAAGAAATACGGTATCACCAGTTAAAGGCCCCAAGGGGGATATGTTTCAGAGATTGGAGAGCAGAGTCCTTGTCCCCGATTAGGAGTGAGTCGTAAGTGTGAGATGGTCCCTGGGTCTGAAAGCCAGAGCCACACCAGGCCAGGACTGCTGCAGATGGCTAGAAAGGAACGATTTGGGAGGTGTCAGCTTCCTCTAGCTGTGTGGGTGTCCATTCATCAGCAGGATTGTTAGTTTATAACAACCCACTCCCTATTACATCCAGGCCTCCTCTGTGCAAGATAAATTGGGGGCACACAGAATTATTTGTGGGGGAGCATTATCGTAGTGAATCTTTTCAATACAGACTCTCTATGTCTCCCTATATTCCAATTTTATTTTTATATTCACCGGACCAGCCTTTATTGGGCTTCTCTTTGCAGATTTTTAGGCCTCAGCACAGCATTTGATTTTGGTGGCTGAGGACTATACCTTAGCTTGGTAACTTTTAGCAAAAATTCAGCTCAGACAAGACCTGACTTCTAGATAGCCTGGAATAGCCTGGACCCACACTTCCTAATCCAAGTCAACATTTTGTCACAGACTATACAACACTTTGGTATTTCTTCTTCAAAAGGGAGAAGTGGAAAGAGACTATAAAATATTTATCTGCTGGATATAGAAAACATCTTTAAATATAAATGCCTGATAAGGCTAAGTTGAATATTGTTTAAGTAATAGTAGAATCTGGATGAGCTACTATTTAATGATCTTTGAGGAACATATTTAATTTTCTTTCCCCCTTACAGATCATCTTGTTAAATTCTGTTTCTGACCTTCATGGCTACATTGACAAAAGCCAGCTGACACAGGAGTTAGGGGGGACTTTGGAATATCGCCATAGTCAGTGGATAAATCATCGCACTGTGAGTACCAACTTATGTGCACTTTTTACTGTCTCTCCTTATTGTCCAGAAGATGGGGTGGAGGGTTGAAGACCAACTGTTGAGAGGTCACCCCATGATGTCCTAACCTCAGGAAGGTTGGGATTACTAAGCCACAGGCCGGGAAAGGAGGAGAGTGGAAAGGTAAAGGCTGAGGTTCCTCCTGTTGACCACTTCACCTCACTGCATCTTCTGGTCCAGGGGTTGGGGAGCCTTGACTGAGAGTGCACCTGGAGAGTGTTCAAAAACATTGACACCCTCCTGTATCTCAGAAAATTTAAGTTATTTGGTCTTGAACGGGTCTCAGACATTAGCGTTTCATAAAACCCCCCAGATGATTCTAATGTGCAGACAGATTGAAACTCGTGAAGTCAGAAGAAGCTACATTTAAATTTTGTCACCACAACTTATGGTGTGACCTTAAGTGAGTTACTAAGCCTTTCTGAGCTTGTTTCTGCCTCTGTTAAAATGAGATTAACCCAGTGGCTCTCTCCTGGGGATAATTTTGCCCCTCAGAGGACATATGTCAATGTTCTTAGACATTTTTTATAGTCATACCTTGGAGGTAGGTACCAGCATCTAGTGGGTAGAGGCCAGAGACTCTGCTAAACATCTTAGAATGCCCAAGACAGCTCTACACAGCAACGAATTATCTGGCCCAAAGTGTGAATAGTGACAATGCTGAGAAACCCAGGACTAACAGAAGCTACCTGAAAGTTTGATATGGGGAATAAGTGATATAGTGTCTGTGAAAGTACCTGATATTTTACTTTTTCCTTCTTAATCACATTGGTGGTGATTATGCTAAACTGGAAGATTTGGTAATATTGACAAAAAAGTGAGATTGAAACTCATTGCAGTAGTTTGAATGTTGGTGTTTCCCCAGAATTCATATATTGGAACGCAATGTGATAACATTAGGAGGCGGGCCTTTTGGGGCATAATTAAGTCATGAAGGCTCTGCCGTCGAAATGGATTTAGTGCCCTTATAAAGAGGTTGAAGGGAGCTGCCGTGTTCCTTCTGCCACGTGAGGACACAGAGAAGGCACCATCTGTGAGGAACAGATCCTCACCAGACACCAAATCTGGACTTCCCAGACTCCAGAACCATAAGAAATAAATTTCTGTTGTTTATAAATTACCCAGTCTAAGTATTTTTGTTATAGGCCTGTCTTACAGGCTGTTTTTGTGGTTGTGCATGTATTAAACACATGATAATGAACTTGAAAAAATTCAACTAGTGGCTGGGTATGGTGGCTCACACCTGTAATCCTAGCACTTTGGAAAGCTGGGGCAGGAGTGTCACTTGAGGCCAGGAATTCAAGACCAGCCTGAGCAACATAGTGAGATCCTATAAGAGATGAGATCTCTATAAGAATTTTAAAAATTAGCTAGGCCTGATGGTGCATCCCCAGAGCTACTCAGGAGGCTGAGGCAGATCATTTGAAGATCATTTGAACCCAGGAGTTTGAGGTTGCAGTGAGCTATGATGACACCACTGCACTCTAGCCGAGGTGACAGAGCGAGAACCTGTCTCAAACAAACCAACCCCCCAAAACAAAAATATCAACTAGAATTGAAAGATCAAGGATATTCTTTACATGTCATTTACATGTTATATGTATATATTTTATACACATGTACATACAAGCATATCTCATATCTCATATCTTCATTGTGCTTTGCAGATATTGAATTTTTTACAAATTAAAGTTTTGTGACAACCCTGCCTAAAACAAGTCTATCAACACCACTTTTCCAACAGTATGTGCTTACTTTGTGTCTCTGTCACATTTTGGTAATTCTAGCAATATTTTGAACTGTTTCATTATTATTATATCTGTAATGGTGATCTGTGATCAGTGATCTTTCACATTACTATTATAATTGTTTTGGGGGTGCCAAGAACCATTCCCATATAAGCTATCTATTGAGTGAACTTAATACATTGTCTATGTTTTAACTACTGCATCAACCAGGCATTCCTCTCTCTCTCTCTCTCTCTCCTCTCTGACCTCTCTGTCCTCTCTCTCTCTCTCTCTCTCTCTCTCTCTCTCTCTCTCTCTCTCTCTCTCTCTCTCCTTGGGCTTCTGTAATCCCTGAGACACAAAATATTGAAATATTAGGCCAAATAATAACCCTATAATGGCCTCTAAGTGTTCAAGTAAAAGGAATACACTGATGCCTCTCACTTTAAATCAAAAGCTAGAAATGATTAAGCTTAATGCAGAAAGCATGTTGAAAGCTGAGAAAGGCTAAAAGCTAGGCCTCTTGTGCCAAATAGTTTGCTAAGTTGTAAATGCAAGGTAAAAATTCTTGAAGGAAATTAAGAGTGCTACTCCAGTGAACACACAAATGTTAAGAAAATAAAATAGCCTTATTGCTGATATAGAGAAAGTTTTAGTGGTCTGCATAGGAGATCAAACCAGTCACAACATTCCCTTAAGCCAAAGCCTAATCCAGAGCAAGGCCCTAACTCTCTTCAATTTGAGGAAAGCTGAGACAGGTGAGTAAGCTGCAGAAGAAAAGTTTGAAGCTAGCAGAGGTTGGTTCATGAGGTTTATGGAAAGAAACCTCCGTAATATAAAAGTGCAAAATGAAGGAGCAGGTGCTGATATAGAAGCTGCAACAAGTTATCCAAAAAACCTAGCAAAGATCATTGGTGAAGGTGACTACTCTACACAATAGATTTTCAGTGGAGACAAAACAGGCTTCTATTGGAAGAAGATGCCATCTAGGACTTTCATAATTAGAGAGGAAAAGTCATTGTTTAGCTTCAAAGCTTCAACAGACAGGCTTGCTCTGTTGGAGGAGCTAATGCAGCTGGTGACTTTAAGTTGAAGCCAGTGCTCATTTACCATTCTGAAAATCCTAGGGCCCTTAAGAATGGTGCTAAATTTACTCTGCCTGTGCACTATAAATGGAACAGCAAAGCCTGGATGACAGCACATCTTTTATAGCATGGTTTACTGAATATTTGAAGCCCACTGTTGAGACCTACTGCTCAGAAAAAAAGAAAAATTCCTGTCAAAATATTACTGCTAATTAACAGTGCACCTAGTCATCCAAGAACTCTAAAGGAGATGTACAAGAAAATGAATGTTGTTTTCATTGCCTGCAGACACAATATCCATCCTGCAGCCCATGGATCAAGGAGTAATTTCAACTTTTGAGTCTTTTATTGAATAAATACGTTCCATAAGGCTATAGTTGCCATAGATAGTGATTCCTCTGATGGATCTGACAAAGTAAATGGAAAACCTTCAGGGAGGGATTCACCATTCCAGGTGCCATTAAGAACATTCATGATTCATGGGAGGAAGTCAAAATATCAACATTAACAGGAGTTTGGAAGAAGTTGATTCCAACCTCATGGATGACTTTGAAGGGTTCATGACTTCAGCAGAGGAAGTCACTGTAGATATGATGGAAATAGCAAAAGAACTAGAACTAGAAGTGGAGCCTGAAGATGTAATTGAATTGCTGCAATCTCACAATAAAACTTGAAGAAATGAAGAGTTGATTCTTCTGGATGAGCAAAGAAAGTGGTTTCTTCATCTTCCTAGTGAAGATGTTGTGAATATTGTTGAAATGACAACAAAGGACACAGAATATTACCTAAACTTAGTTGATAAAGCAGCAGCAGGGTTTGAGAGGATTAATTCCAATATTGGGGGAAGTTCTACTGTGAGTAAAGTGCTATCAAATAGCATCACATGCTACAAAAAAAATCTTGCATGAAAGGAAGTGTGGCAGACTTCATTGTTGTCTTATTTTAAGAAGTTTCCATAGCTACCCCAACCTTTGGTGACCACTACCTTGATCAATCAGCAGCCATGAACAACAAGGCAAGACCTCCCACCAGCAAAAAGATTATGACTCTCTGAAGGCTCAGATGATTGCTAGCATATTTTAGCAATAAAGCATTTTTTAATTAAGGCATGTACATTTTATAAATTTAATGCTATTGCATACTTAATAGACTATAATATAGTGTATACATAACTTTTATATGTACAAAAATTGTGTGATTCATTTTATTGTGGTGTTCGCTTTATTGTAGTGGTCTGGAACCAAAACCACAATATCTCTGAGATATGCTTGTATATATAATTAGGAATAATACAATTTAACATAACCACACATATACAGTACATATTGTTTTATATCTTATGGGTAAGATATATAGCTTCTGTTCTTTTGTTACAGTGTATTTTCTGGATGTCAGATCTTTGAATGAGAGACTCATAGAAAGTAAGAACTTGAAAGAACCTTAAAGATCATTTACTTCAATCACCTTATTTTATACATAAATAAAATGACTTTCTATGTAAAAGGGTAACTTATCCAAGATCATATGGTCACGTAGTGGCAGAGCCAAGACTAAGCTCTTTGTAAACATCACATCAGAGTCAGGTCCTCTGTACCATTGCCTGTTGTGGCCGATTACAGAATGGGGGATGACACACACAGAACATATACATAAGACGCAGACAGACAGAATTGGCTGCAGTCCCAGAAGAAAAAAGGACACAAAGACAAGACATGGTTTCAGACTGCAGCACTGAAAATGTGCTCGTCATTTATTTTATACAGTTTAATTGGACAAGTGTCCCGCAGCCATTTTCTCATGCTAGCCACTTTCCCAGCTACTTTTTGGTATGTGACTTCCCACGGCCAACAACACCTGCTTTTCCAGTCAAAGCAAAAAGCATGGGCTTCTACAAGAGATCTCTTTGATGTTTCATACCACTTTCAGATAACAAACAATCTCGGCTCGAGTGCGAGAGACCGAAAAATCCTTGACCATCTTGTAGCACCTAGCACCGCGTGCTGGTTGCCAGGTAACCTTGGCTTGCATGCGAGGCCACAGGTTCTTGGCCGTTTGCCTGGAGAAACAGTTTCTTCAGCCAGTCAACAAGCCACGTCCTGCTGATTGTGGAAACAAGCAATGGGCTCCTGTTCTGCTGACTTGGGGTCTCAGCCAATCTGACCCTGGGACGGCTTGCTCGCTTCCTTCAATTGCCAAAGTGATTACTCCCCAAAGTGATTGACACATGGGATCAGGTTAATTTGTTAGTAGGTAACCTCCTGGGGAAAGCACTGGCTTTCCTCTGTTTCCAGGATGACATTTGCAGGCCTCACATTCAACACTCTTTGAGTTGTTACTGTTACTACTATTACACTTGTAAGGTACTCCATTGTCTCCAAGATCCTTTCACATTTGCTATTCCTTTCTATTCTAAAAAACAAACACAAATAAAACAAAGCCTGCAAAAACCGCAAGCATTATCGTATTTTTCAAATGCGTACACTGGCATTCAACAGCATTGTATGGCTTACCCAAGATCACGTAGTTAGAAGGATCAGGATCTGTACTCTAATTCAAGCCTTCAACTCTCAAGTTCAAGGTCTTTTGTTGATCTTGTTTTAAAGATTGTTTTGCTAGATACAGTGTTAACTGCCAGGAGGTGGCATAATGTAGTGCTGAAGAGCGTGGCCCAGGAGCCAGATTACCTTGCTTCAATCCCAGTTCTGCCACTTATTTTTTATATGACTTTGGGGAAATTACTTAATGTTAATATGCCTCAGTTTCCTCACCTATAGACTGTGGGGTGATGGTGATAGCACCTGAGATGCACTAGAAGAGACAGTGCCTATAAAGCAACACATGTCATAACCTTATATTTTCTTATAATTCTCCTGATATATTGGATTTCCTTCCTTCCTTCCCCTTTACTTTTCTTTCCCTTCCTTTCCCTTCTCTTCCCTCCTCCTCCTTTCCTTCTCCCTTCCCTCCCTCCCCACTCTCTCTCTCTCTCTTTTTTCTTTTCCCTTCTCCCTTCCCTTTCCTTCCCTTTTCTTTTGACAGGATCTTGCTCTGTCCTCCAGGCTGGAGTGCAGTGGCATCATTATAGCTCGCTGCAACCCCAAACTCCTGGATTCAAGCGACCCTCTTGCCTCAGCCTTCCAAATATCTGGGACTACAGGTGTGCACCACCACACCTGGATAATTTTTCTTATTTTTTGTAGAGATAGGATCTCAACTATGTTGCCCAGGGTGGTCCTGAACTCCTGGTTTCAAGTGATCCTCCTACCTCTGCCTCCCCAGGTGCTCAGATTATAGGTGTGAGCCACTGTGGCTGGTTGGATTTTCTTTATATATTATTCATCATAGGCCATTAGTGAATACAGTTGAATGAGGGTTTTATACAGATGTTAGATTATACAAACATAATAACACTTGATGTACTTGAAAGAGAGATTTTCATAAAAGTTATTAATAGCATTTGTCTGACTTTCCAGGCCAAAAGTACTCTGATGTAAAGTACCATCATCATTCTTTACAGATCTAGAAAAAATAATTCTTCACTTTGTATGGAACCAGAAAAAACCTTGTATAGCCAAAACAATCTTAAGTAAAAAGAACAAACTGGGAGGCATCAGTCTTCCTGACTTCAAGCTGTACTATAAAGCAATAAAAATTAAATCAGCCTTGTACTGGCACAAGAACAGAGGCATCGATCTTTGGAACAGGACTGAGATTCCAGAGATGAAACCATCTTCATATGGAAACCTAATCTTTGATAAAGCAGACAAAAATATACATTGGGGAAAAGAATCTCTTTTCAATAAATGGTGCTAGAAAAACTGGATAGCTACCTGCAGAAGAATGAATCTGGATCCCTACTTCTAACCTCTCACAAAAATCCACTCAAGATGGATAACAGACTTAAACCTAAGGCAAGAAACCTTAAGAATCCTAGAAAAAGATGTTGGGAAGACCCTTTCAGACATTGGCCTAGGCAAAGAATTCTTGAAGAAGACCTCCAAAGCAATCACTGCAGCAACAAAAATAAATAAATTGGATCTGATCAAATTAATCTGTGCTTCTGCACAGCCAAGGAAACTATCATTAGAGCAAATAGACAACCCACAGAGTGGGAGAAAATATTTGCTCTCTACACTTCCGATAAAGGTCTGATAACAAGAATCTATCTAGACCTCAAAAGAATTAACAAGAAAAAATCAAACAACCCCAACAAGAAATGAGCAATGGAAATGAACAGAAACTTTTCCAAAGAAGACAGAATAATGGCCAGCAAACATATAAAAAAATGTTCAACATCTCTAATCATTAGAGAAATGTAAATCAAAACTATAATGAGATATCACCTCACCCCAGTGAGATTGGCCTCTATTAAAAAATCCCAAAACAACTAATGCTGGTGAGGATGTGGAGAGACAAGAACACTCTTACACTCTTAGGGGGACTGCAAATTAGTGCAACTTTTGTGGAAGAGAATTTGGAGATACCTCAAAGAGCTAAAAATAGAAATACCATTCAATCCAGCAATAGCATTATTAGGCATCTACCCAAAAGAGCATAAGACATTCTATAATAAAGACATCTGCACCTGAATGTTTATGGCAGCATAATTCACTATTGCAAGGATGTGGAAACAACCCAAGTGTCTGTCAATTCATGAGTGGATTATTAAAATTTGGTATATGTTTACAATGGAATATTAATTCTAAGAAACGACAGCAAGCTCGCACCACTTATATTATCTTGGATTAAGCTTAAGCCCATTATCCAAAGTGAGGTGACACAAGATCAGAAAAATGGGCTTCACATCTACTCACCATTAAATTGGTACTGACAGATTAACACTATGGTGCTCAAAGGGTGGTGGTGTTCACCAGGGATTCAGGGGTTGGGGGGTAGACCCACATCTGAGGGATGTGGTAAACATTGTGTGGAGGGGAGGGGCATACCTCTAACCCTTGCTAGGGAGAGGCAAAGATATAAAATGCAACCAAAATGTTTGTATTCTCATATTTTCTTGAAATAAAAAAAAAAAAAAGTACTCTGATGTTCAAGGTTGTGGCTGTACAAATGCTTGTGCTAATGGGGAGATTCCTCCTACAGCAGTGCCTCCAGAATGACAATGGCTGAAATAGGGACGACCTTGGGTTCAGACAGCAGGGGAGGTGTGCAGTGCTCTGGAAGCCTCATCATGCCAGTCTCAGCCCCGGCCTCTGGCTCAGAGAACGGCCCTGTCGGATTTGGCACATTCTTTATGATGTGGGTTTGAGTTTTCAGAAATGTTCTCTGACATGTAGGAACAGAGGTCCTTTCTTTCCAAATGAAAATTCCGTTGGGCCTCTTTGCTTCTTCCATTCAGCAGTGGTCTGTAGGCCACCGGCCATGTGACAGGCACAGTACCATGCCTTGGGGCTGCAGAGATGAATGTCACATGGTGCTTGCCCTTCAGGGACAATATTGTCTCAGGAGCAGAGAAAGGGGGCATGGCAGTGCCAGCTGGTGGTGGAATGATTTGCAGAGCTCTGAAAAGCTACCCACCTGCAAACAGATCCTCTGATGGGCAGCAACACTTTTTCTGGGCTAGGCCATGTGTTTCCCAAAGCACTCTGCTAAAATGTGGATTTCTCACCTGGGATATTAGTGGGTATTAATGGCAGAGTAGGGTCCTTAGTGGAAGGGACACAGGACAGGCAAATTTTTATAAAGGAGATGTAAGAGAAAGAGATCCCCAACCCCTCCCCACATCTGAGAGATGTGACTCTTAGGGGTCACTAGTGACCTAATCACTCCATCCATCTTTCTCCACCATTGTCATGTGCTGTCAGCAGCACTGACAAGCTTCTCAATGGTGTCAGGCAGACGGGGGTATTGTGACGGGAGAGAGTAGTGTAGGAGCTACAAGAGAAGGAAAGGTTTATTAGGGTGATGATTGGGTGGCTCTGTCCTTTTCAGCATTTTGCCTAGTGGAAATCCTGTGTCAAACTTAATGCTGGGTGTTCTTAGGGGAATGAAGAAAGCCCTGAACTTGAAACAGCTGACCTTGGTTGAATCCTGCATGCCTCCCTTTTTTACTGCCCAAGCAATATGATCTTGGGCAACTCAACCTGTTGGGGCTTCAGTTACCTCCTCTATAAAGTGGAGATAAGATATCTCCCACTCTAGATTATTGAGATGATAGACAAATGTGGGGCATCAAGTACAGTGTGTGGCCCGTCGCAGATACTCAGGAAATGGTAGCTAATTCTGTTTATTGTCTTTCCATTGAGAGAACGTATTGGTGAAGGTTAACCTCTCCACATTGCTATGATTGTCTGACCTTCCAGGCCGTCGAAAACTTTGCCTTGACATTGAAGGCCACTGCCCAAATGCTGCAGACGTTTGGGGCCTGCCTGGCCTTGACAGAGCTGCCTGGGGGTGTGCTATCCACTGAAGACCTTCTCATGTCCCACACAAGGCAGTGGGACAAGCTGCAGGTGAGTGGTCTGTGGCCTGTCATGGCCAGCCTCTGTGCCAGCAGGTGGGTCTGCCTCTTGGAGAGAGCCAGGAGCAAAATTAAAAGTTAAGCCCTCTTCTTTCTTCTCCAGTGACTTGGCAGCTACTGACCATATTAAATCTTCCAGACAGTTTGTGAAAAGTCTCTTGAGACTGGGTGGTGACCTGTGGGATGCAGCCCAGGGAGGGGAGATTCCTGGCAGGTGTGTGCTGCTGGGATGAGGCGTGTGAGCACCCTGTCAAGGGCTGCACCCCTGTGATCCTGCTCAGGATGAAGCAAGACACAAGTGCTGAAGCTGCAGACAGAGCGGTTGGCTTTTGAAGTACAAGCTCTACAGCAGCAGTGAAGTTTTGAGGCAGACTTATAAGCTGACTTATTGCTTCACAGTCTCAGGCGTGTGTCTTTTTATTTGGGGACTAGTTTGAGAAAAGGGACTATGGAAGTCTGCTCTGAACTGGGTTTAGGGATAGGTGCCTATTAAATGATTAATAAAAGCACGTTAGAACCTGCTGAGAGCAGAGCTTGGCTGGTTCTTTCAATCCTGCAGCAAAGGGGAGCGTCTCTGGGGCTACACACTGGGTGCATGTCAGCACCTTTCTGCCTTGAGAAGTACAAACAATCCATTGTTTCACAGAATACCAGTTTTCAGTAGGGCAGCCAACCCAGAATGGGACAGTCAGTATGTGTGTCCTTGCTGCATGAAACTTGGGCAGAGCTGAACTGTTTTATCTAGGACCCAAAATTTGCAAAAATGCTTTGCTAGATGGCATTTGTTCATTTATTCAACATGTATTATTTACCATTACATGCTAGGAAAACCAGAACTGCAACCTCAAGAACATGTAATCTTTTTAGGTGAGTCTCAGAGTCTAGTAGTTGAGGCGAATTAAATTTTCAATGTGCCAAAGAACATTGTTAAATTCTGTCTGGAAGGAGGTTGTTATCCAAAAAATGTTCCAAATACATGTCCAAGATTACTCTGAGTAATCAAATGATCTGGACTGAAATTGTGAAATCCTGCCAGCATCCTGGAAGTTTTCCCTGAAAATGCCGCTGAGAGGCTTGACCTTTTCTTTTGCAAACGTTGGCCAGGCTCACCCCACATGATTCCTGGGAGGCACAGGTTGCAGAAAGCAGGGTCTGGGTGCCTGTGTGAAGTCTGCTACAAAGGGGTTTGCGGTTGCACAGGCCAAAAGGTTGTCACTGGCCAGTAGGAGTAGCCTGCAGAGCAGTCTGTCCGTGCTAGGGAGCATTTAATTTAATTTGCATCAAGAAGGATGCCTAGCAGAGCAGGGTCTGTGAGACTGCGCTCTGTGCCCAGGCTCTTGAGCACAGCGTATTGTCTGCCTTAGTCCAGGAAGGGTTTGGAGAGGTTGCAGAGCAGAAGCACAAGGTGGCCATGTGGCCAGTCAGAACAGTCTCTGGGGAAAAGGATAAAAATGTTGGATTTTAGACAAGGACACGTATCTCAGACATAGAAATCAGCCATCGGGTCCTGCTGTTTGTGCAGTGAGGGTGCCCCAGGAAAGGCAAATGAGTGAGTGTATAATTTCTATAATTTCTGAACAGGCAAAGAGTTCGACAGAGGGCACTGGGCAGGGGGCAGGAAAGAGCCAGTCTCCAAGATGGAGTAAGAGCATTTCCTTATGGGTGATAGCCAGCTAGTCTCAGTTAAAACAAGCAACTCTGGAAAGCTAAAACTTCTCTCACATTATGAAGTAGAGAAACTTTGTACATCCACATAATTTAGAGTATTAGTTGACATTTATAAGAAGGAATTTTATACTCTAAATATTATATCTCAATTTGGTGAAACATTCCTAATCTAACCTGTAAGACAAGTGAAAAGAATTTAGGAGTTTCCATTTAATCAGCCTTTTAGTAAGAAAATTAATGAGTAAGAAAATTTAGTAAGAATAAATTTAGTAAGAAAATGAACTTGGGCATCATGTTAAGGCCTTGGCCGGGTGCAGTGGCTCACACCTCTAATCCTAGCACTCTGGGAGGCCGAGGAGGATCACTTGAGATTAGGAGTTCGAGACCAGCCTGAGCAAGAATGAAACCCTGTCTCTACTAAATCTTGCATAAACTAAACTGCATGCTTGCATTCATACTCCATGTTGTCCTAAAATCATGGAGAAGACCTATAACTATTTTTGGATAAAAATTCTCGAAACAATTTGTCCAAGTGTTTACCTTGATTAAAAATATTATGTGTATTTGGATTAAGATATTATTCTGTCTTTATTTTACCAAATAGTATTATCATCCTTTTAAAGACAAAAGGTTTTGTAAAGCCTTTTTTGAGTACTAATTATTGGCCTAATACAAATTTGATATTTTTGTTCCTATAACTTGTCAAGAATATAAAAATTATTAAACTAGGGTTACATTTATCTGTTTTCTCATTCAAAAATACCCTAAAGAGAGAAATGATTTAAATTAGAAAAAAAGGAATACTGTTTAAACTTTTATTAACAACAGTAGTTTTTTTGTGATTATTTGTATATATTTTCCTCGTATTAGTGTTTTACCTACCGTTTAATCAAAGGTTCTACATGTAATTGAATAATTTCTTTTCCATGGAAGGTACTTTTTCCAAGTGAAAAACCAGTGTAAGATTCATTCCTCAGAACAGTGAGTTTTTAAATCTATTTAAATATCTGTAAAAGTTACAGTGTATGGTTTACTGTTTTCTCCCAGCCTGGAGAATTTTTTTTTCCTAAGCAGCACAGCATTGTGACATTTGGCTTGATTTCTTGATTTCCTTTCTGTGGGAAGCTTTATCTTGTCTTATCTTATCTTATCTTAGATCCATATAAGCACCTAGCTGCCTCTACAACCAATCAAAATAGTAGTTTCTTGGAACTGGAGAGTTTTTACAGCCTCACTTGCTAACTCCTTATGTTTAAAATTATCTTCCAATAGAATCTCTTCTTTTGGCCACCCTGATATATCAAACCATCTGTTTACACACAAAAAAAAAAATCTGAAAACTTTCACAGAATAGCCTTATCAAACGTTTTAGCAACCAATGACTTTAAAGAAAGCTCTTCTCTAGAAATATAAACTCCTTCCCCTTAGGCTGAGCCACAGTTTGGATCTTAATGTATTCTTATAGTCAATATGTGTTATTTTCTGTATAATCAGATTGTGGGCACTTGGGCGTCATGTTAAGGCCTTGGCTGGGCACAGTGGCTCACTCTAATCCTAGCACCCTGGGAAGCCGAGAAGGATCACTTGAGATCAGGAGTTCGAGACCAGCCTGAGCAAGAATGAAACCCTGTCTCTACTAAAAATAGAAAAAATTAGCCGAGCATGGTGGCACATTCCTGTAGTCCCAGCTACTTGGGAGGCTGAAGCAGAAGGATGGCTTGAGCCCAGGAGTTTGAGGTTGCTGTGAGCTAGGCTGACATCACAGCACTCTAGCCCGGGCAACAGAGCGAGACTCTGTCTCAAAAAAAAAAAAGAGTTGAAGCCTTATTTTCCCTCTGTGATTTCACTGTCTCATTTGAGGGACAGAAGGGAAGAACCAGCGTCAGCCTCCTCTGGGAGGTGTTAGTTCCTGGTGAATGAGACAAGCAGACAGTTACCTCTGTCTCTTCTGTGAATTAGATCCTTCTTCGGGGTGGGGTGGGATGGGGGTGGGCTCCGTTTTCTGAAGCCGTGCTTTGGGCTCTCTCTCAGTTTACAGGTAGTTCCCCTCCTGCCACAGTAGGGCCCTGGCTGCACAAAGAAAGGAAACTCCCTGAAAGGAAGCATGAACTTACACACATGTTCCGGAAGAAGCACCCCAAACTCCTCCTCCAGCTCGAGTGCTGGCTGTAAAAAAATTAAATATCCAAAATGATTAAGGATACTTTCTTTCCATGGAAACTGAAACTCTGCTTTGGGTCTCAGCAACTTACCTTTACCCCTTCCAAGTACCATATTTCCTCCATCTTTTCCGCTGTGTTTATGGCACATTTTTGTAATCTTACTCAAGCTGACCATGTGGTTCAGTCCCAAAACAGTAACCAGGTCACAGTTTTTGCTTGTATTTTTTTTAACAGTGTGAAGAGGATACACAGTGTATAGCATCACTTATGAAGATTCACCCTCCCTGTCCCACACACATTCCTCATGCTCTGCAGCTCTTTGAGTGTACGCCTCTTCCTAGCTTCTCCTCCAATGCCTCCTTCTGCCCTGGCAATGCACCTTTTCTCTTTCAGCTTCTGTACCTTTCTTCCCAGCTCTACACCACAAGAGTGCATATAGATAGATAGATAGATAGGTAATGCCAGAATCCTGCTGGAAGCCCAGGAGCAGTTAAAAAACTGAGTGGGGAAAGCCAGGATCCTCTTTGGTGGGTGGGTGGTAGGAGAGAAAGGCTAAAGACATTTGACTCATAAGTACATTTTTACCATCATATCTGATTTGTCTTTATTCATCTGCAACCTGATTTCTTCTAGACTATTACTAATTTATCCAACCTACAAATATTTAATGAGCATTGATGAGATAAGAAGAAATGAGGGCTGACACATGAGAGTGGAAAAGAAGGGATATGTCCAATTCCCAGGCAGCAGTGCCAGCCAAGTGGCTGACTTGAAGCATTACCTAGAGTGGACAGAGCTGGAGGGGGTGTCTGGAAAACTCAGAGAGGCTGTCTCAGAGAGGTCAATTCTATCATCAGCCCCATTCAGGGACAAGTTTGAGGTTTGGTATGGACAATGTAACCTTCTGGGTGAAATTCTGGAGAGGGATGGGAGATAGGAAACAAAGGCATGAAGTTGAGAGGGCCCAAGAGTACTGTGTGAACAGAGTGGGGAAGTGTTTTTCCACAGGGAATGAGCTTTAAGCTGTGTGAAGGCTGTAGAGGTGGGCGGGCATAGAGGAAGACAGGGTTCATGTGCATAGAAATGATCTTTTGATTAAATCTTGCTCAACGGTGTACAAAACCAGCATCCTGTGACCCAGGAACCAAACCTAGAATTCTTAAGGATTTAAAAGGAAACAGACATCCCCAGTTACAAAGCACTAAGTCCCCATATTAAAAGAACAGAATATAATTGCCTTGGAAGTATAAATCTTTCTCTGTCAAACTGAAATTGCTGCCCATCTCTGCCAAACTTTAATAATTGAACAGGGCTGCAGTTGGTTGGCTTATGGAAAAAGCCATGGTCAACTAACAATTATGACATTATTATTGTTTGTCAGTTTTCTAGCACTTGACATTCAATATCATTTTCTTGATTCTGGTCACTATCTCAGACCAGAACCAGATTTTATTATCAATAACTAGTTTTACTTTTAATTTACAACATCAGCTTGAGATACACAAAAAAGTAGATATTACTTTTGGAGAGGAAAAGTGGACAGGTTAGGGGACAAAAGACTTTCTTTTTTCTAGTATATACCCTTTTGTCTGCCTCTTAAAGGCAAGTCAATTGATTAAGTTTTTAAGCTGCATCTTGACTTCATTAGCATTTAATTTCCGAAATAAAAAATATAGTAATCTCCTATTCTCCTCACCCTAAATCTACCAAGAATTTGTTTTTGCTAATTCCTTCTAAGAGAGACTATATTTTTCTTTCCCTAGGATGAGCTGAAATTGCTTGGAAAGCAGGGGGCCACATTGCTGTCATGCATCCAAGAACCAGCAGCCATAAATCCTACCAGCAAACTCAATCCCAATGAACTTGAGAATGTAGTTACCATGGAAAGGTGAGTGAGTGAAGTGGAATCTGCTATTTCATGAGAGAATAAGTAGTCCTAGATATTGTGAAACAACCAAAAACAGATTGGAACAGCTACTGTTGGGTCTTGGTAGGGCCAAGAAAGATTAATATTTGCAACAACAAAGGAAAAAAGATCATGTCCATCTGGTATCCACCTACAGATATTTTTCATGAGAATTCCATTCCCTCCTTTTATATGTATGTAATATGCTCTCATCCCAGTGTTTGAAGAAATATGGTAATATTTATTGAGCTTTATTTCCAAATAATAGTTTGGCTTGGTGCTGTGCTTTACACGTGTAGTCTTGGGTGGGAAAAGGAAGGCACAAAGGTAAGGTCACCTGGGGCACAAGCACAGCAACTGTATCTGAAAAGAAGTTTCTGCCTGAACTGTGGGTGTCTTGATTGAAAAATGGAAGGTGTGGGGACCCGCTGAACCATTATAAAGGCATAAGTGACACAGACTTTCACATAAGGAGGTTGCCACAATTAATAACAATGGCTGAAAACACAGGTGTTATGTATACATCAGCCTGCACAGATGCCTGTGGAAATGAATGCTAATGTAATTCCACTTTCTCATTCTTTCTTGAAAGGCTGTTAGTTCAATTGGATGAAACAGAAAAAGCCTTTAGTCAATTTTGGTCTGAGCATCACCTGAAGCTTAACCAATGCCTACAACTACAGCACTTTGAGCACAATTTTTGTAAGGTATTATTTTCTTGTTTAATGTAACTTTCTTTTCTGGTACATTGACCTCTGGTTTTCTCTTCCCCCTCAGAATCTTTGGTGTTGGATTTCCCTCCTATCCCTAATCCAGCTTCTTCCTCATGTCCTTGTGCTTCCTCACAGAACTCCCTCCCCAAACCCCCTTCTCACTTTTTCAGTAGAGTAGCAATGTTCTAGAACCCCATTTTCCTGTTGTCATGCATGGCATTTTAGTGATGGTTAATCTTCCTTTTTGATTGTTAATCTGTTGAATATAGCTCTAATATTCCACCTTCATGTGTCTTTACACCCCCAGCTTAATCTGAAAGTTAATGGGCTTTAAATAGATAGATAGATAGATAGATAGATAGATAGATAGATAGATAGATATAGATATAGATATAGATATAGATATAGATATACAAGTCCTGAATCCTTTTTGGATTTTTGAGTTTTCTTAAAGCATAACAAACCTATACCTCCAGATAACAAACCTATACCTGCCAGTTGGTTTACTTCTAGACTGTACTAATGTGTCTTGTAGGTTAAGCTTGCCTTGGACAATTTGTTGGATGAACAAGCAGAGTTTACCGGCATTGGAGGCAGTGTGCTGCATGTGGAACAACTTCTTAAGGAACACAAAAAACTGGAAGAAAAGGGCCAGGTTTGTTTTTTGACATTTTTGTGTACTGGGAAGGAAGTCATATTGTCTAATCATTATTACTGTTGGAAAGCTACTAAAGGACACAGGAATGCCCAATCCTGCCCTTCAGTCACTCTACCCCAACCCCAGGTCCCCAAGGAGATGTGCCCATTAACAATTATAACAAATAATGCCAGGATCTCAGTGTTCTATTGAAGCTGCCAGAGCCTGCAGTTAAGGTTGGAGGCTCCAGTGGGATGAGGACTCTGGGCCAGCCCTGCCCTCTCTTGGGGTCAGCAGCCCAGTGGGAGAAGGTCACAATGGGTATATTGCCCACCAGACCAATTATCTGAGAGTCTCACCAGTCAGCTTAGAGCTCCTCCCTGGGGCCCAATGGTGTGGCAGGGGCTGGTTGGCAGTAAGGAGGGGAAACTTTTAAAAGAGGAAACCAGGGGAAAAAAAAAAAACAACTAGTTTTATGCCTGGAACAAGATGGTTTGACAGGGAGAAATTGGTCCTCATTTGTTCTGTTATTATAAGGAATTTCTCCTTTCTCATGCCCCAAGAGTTATAAAAATGAAACTTGTAAAGGAAGATGTATTTTACAATTCTCATATCAGAATTAAATAGTTTCCCAGATCTGCACGCAAGTCAGCACTTAGAAGTGATTCCACTTTAAGTTCTTGCAAAGTTGGTTTATTACAAATTAAGAAAACCAGGTTACTTCTTCCCAGAGAAGTTCCTTTCTGCTTTTTAAAAATTAGGTTCTCCATGTTTTTGTCTTTTGGGGACCAAGTTCCTTGTGGCTAGCACTTCCTTTCTAAGCTAATCTCAAGGCATGTTTCCCAGATGACAATTTGGTGGCACTAGAGATTTGCTTTTTGAAGTGTGAGCCTCTGGCCTGCAGCATAGATGGCACCTGAGTCAGAGCTTGTTAGAAATATAGAACCTCAGGACCCACCTTAGAATCAGAATCTGCATTTTAGTAAGATCCCCAGGTGATTATATACATTACAGTTGGAGACATACCTGTACTAAAAGGTACAAAATAAATGTAAACCAAGGCCACACTGCTTTAACAGCTATCAGTTGCAGATTCAGAGCTGGAGGTGCTTCTGCACATGCGTGAACACACGAGCCCAGCTGTGCACCGAGATCCTCACTCAGGAATCTCATTCTTCCCGAGTGGGCACTCTTTCTGTTATCAGTGATCATCTGACAGCTAAACTAGTGCTGATGACACATGGGTCATCAGAAACATTTATCCAACAATTGAAAAATTGAATTTCATATACGATGACTCTATGTCTTAAGATTCTCCAGGACAGCCCCAATTTTATGTAATTTTATTTTTTTCAAAATAATTCCTTATTAAATATAGATACTATGTAATTTTGCTTGTATCGATTCATATGTTAAGAAAAATATTTCATCAATAAAAATGCCTTCATATATACACAGAAGTGTCTACTGACCTGTTAGGAGGTATTCCTGATGTCTGGTATTCCTGTCCTAGGTTCTGTGGACATGGTGGTGAACCAGACAATCAAGACCCTGCTCTCATGGAGCTTACATTCTACCAGAGATAGAGAGTTTATTAACAAGCAATAAAATAAATAATAACATCATATAGTGACCAGTGACATAAAGAAAAAAATAGGATGTAATAGGAAGTGACTTGGGGGGCTACTTCAGCAAAAGTGGTCAGGAAAGGCCTCTCTGAGAAGGTGGCCTTTGGTCTGAGACCTGTGTAGTTATGCAGAAATTTGGGGAATAGCATCAAGGTAGAGGAAGCTCCAAGTGCAAAGATCTTAAAGTAGGAATGAGGTTGGTGAGTTCAAGGAAAGTTGCCTGGAGCACAGTGAGCCAGGAGGAAATGAGGTGGGAGAGATGCACAGAGGCCAGGTGGTCACGCTGGGCCCTGGGATCTTTGGGGAGAATTTGGATTTTATTCTCTGTAGAACAGAAAGGCCAGGGAAGGCACTCTGGGTTGTGTTTTGAATAGCAGTGATGGATCCTACATCACATTCTTTTCTGCCCACCTCCTTAAACTTACAGTCCTTTCATGGATACTTTAAAAATTGCTGGCCAGAACTAGGGGTGGAACCGATGGTGATGGGACATAGGAATACCTGGTGAACCCATGACCTATCTTTTATGGGCAAAATTCTTGAGGCAGCTGGAATAACTCACTGCAAATGGCCTACGGCACTCAAGCAGATTGATTTTGTTTATCTTGTACTTTGCTTACACTGATTTAAAACTTACTTCCCAAAGGATACAGTGCACCTATTCGTCTGCCTTTGGGTGAACCAAACAGAGCTATCTTATGGTAACTGAGACCTTTTTCAGTATGTCTTCTCTCAAATTTCCAAGGGGCATGGTTTCTTCAGATGATTAGGGCTTGGTTAGTCTTTCCATTTGTCCTTGAAGTGTTAGAGGAACAAAGTGGTGTCTGGCCATAATCCACCAAATATCTGCTTGGGGTTTGTCCTTTACTCAGCACTCAGTGGTCGGCTTCCTTCTCAGCGTAGCTACACACTGGTTCTAGGTTGTTGCCAGCTTCCTTATTCTGTGCAATGATATCATCCTCACAGGCAACCAACTCACTAACCAGACTCCTGTCACATGTTAATTGGGCCTGTTCTTTCTCTTGTTCTAGTTTGAGAGTTTAGCAATCTTTTCAACACTCCTTCCTGATTTTGAGAAACAATTGTTTCAACTACTTATAGAAGGTCCTCTATAAAAGCAGAATTTGCTGTAGGGTTTTGGCTGCAAAGCATGCCAAGGACTTTGGTGATGGGAACAGAGGGTCAAGGAACCAACCTGATTTCAGCCTTGACCTATCCTCCCAAGGCTACTATATGCAAGAAGGAACCCAGGCCATTAACATCCTAAGAGTGTGTGTGTGAAATTTTCAAACACAGAGAAGCAAATAGACTAGTATAATGAACTCCCATGTGTCCATCACTCAATTTCAGCAACCATTAACTTTCGGCCTTTCTTGTTTTATCTTGCCCAGCTCCCCATACATACATCCCATTCCTGTGGCATTATCTGTAGGTTCGTTCTTGATTCCCTGATATAGTAGCATCACCCTCTTTCTTACCATTTCTTCCACAGTAGACAATTTCTTTTATCTGTCAGAGCAATAAGTCCTTGGGGGAAAATAAGCTATTATCACAATAAAACTCTCTGAATTACATGTTGCAACTTTACTATCTAGTCTTCTGGAATTTTCAGCATCCGAAAGATGCCAGATGGCCTCATGGTTAGATATTTTAGTCATTTTTTTTATCATTATTTCTTTTTTACTTTAGGTGTTTTGTTGACTATCTTGAGCAGGAGCTATATAAACTTAAAAACAAGCTGCAATTTGGAGGTAGGTAAGTTCCTTTGTAGGTACCAGAAGGATTTCATAGCAATGCAAGGAGGTCAGCTGGCCTGGAAGGTGACAGAAAAGGACATAGGTTGTGAAGTCAGACAGAGCTGGATTCAAATTTTGGCTCTACCAACTATCACCTGTGTGATTCTAGTCAAGTTTCTTGGCCTTTCTGAATATGGGTCCCTCATCTGTAAAATGAAGATGATAATTCCTACCTCACAGAGTTCCTGCGCAGATTAAATGAGTTAAATGCATGGTAAGGACTTAGTGTCTGAAACATGGTCAGTCTCCAGTACTTAGAAGCTATTATCACTGCCCATTCATTTCCATAATGGTGATCTTCCGGCCATGCGGTGGCTGAATCAGGGTTGCTTCTAAGTTGTCTTTATAGATCTTTTCTTCAGATCCATTTGGACCTGTTACATCTTTCCTCTAACATCTCAAATGTTTAAATACAGTTCTGCAGGGTGAGAGACCGATGCCAAGTGAAGGTCACGCTGTGATCCCCAAGGGCAATTTGGAAGTATCCTGTGGGGAATTTTCCTGGACCCAGACAACTCTATGTTATTCTTAATAAATTAGCCAAACTTGAAAAAAAAATGTCAACAGAGACTTTCTTGCCAAGTTTTCATGTTTCTATATTTGACTAAAGTCAGACAAGTTTGAGCCACCAAATGAGGTCTCTGAGCTCAGGCAGAACAAGCGCAGTCTTTCTCTGTGTGTGTGTTGGTCAGAGCCAGATTCCGGAGCCAGACTGCCCAGGTTTGAAGCCTGGCTCTTCTTTTTTCTCCCTGGGTCACCTTGGGCCATTGTGCCTCCATTTTCATTTGTAAAACAGTACTGTATCAAAAGGCTTATTGTGAGTAAAAGAAATAATCAATGTCAAGCATTCATAACAGTGCCTGGCACAGAGTAAGCTCTCGGTACATGTTACCTGTTATTGCTGTCACCCAGGAAGTGGGATGAGTTCTGTGCTACAGAACATCTCCTGGGTTCAGTTTGCAGGGGCTGAGCAGTGCTGGTAAGGGCCTTTTACTCCATTTCATTTATTCTGCAAATACTTACTGAACTCCTACCATGCTGAGTACTGTTCTAAGTTCTGAGGACACACCAGTGAACAAGACAGTCAAAATTCACTACCCAAGGAATTAGCATTCTAAGCTCCTTTCAGGGTGGTGACCAGTGTATCCAAGCCTTTGATGTTGAAAACAAATGCACTGAGTATTTATCCCTGTGTTCTTTTAAGTAGCCACTGCTTGATTTGTGTCACTTGATTTCTGTATCGTTACTCCTCTTTGTTTTGCACAACAATAATTTATTCTTAAGTACCTAAGCTGGGCCATGTCCTGTTGTAAGTTGAATAAGTGCTGGTCCTTGTCCACAAGGGTCTATAGCCTAGTGCAGACACTAGGCACATGGTCACAGTGCAGTGAAGCAGGTGCTCTGGGCAAGAGAAGCACAGAGGCAGCTTTTTGGAGAAGGTGAACTCTGAAAGGTGATTTAGGTAGAGTTGACCCCAGAGGAGTGTGGATGCGGTGGGGGATGGGGGCAGTAGGAAAGGATGAGGCTTTCTAGGTGGAGAAGGCATGGAGGCCTGAAGCTGCTTGAATATTTGGGGAACTACAAATGGGTCCTTAGTATGGTTGCAGCAGAGAATGGAGTTGAGTAAAATGGGGAAGAGGAATTGCTGAGAGGTACACTAGCAGTGGTCCCCAAACTTTTTGGCATCAGGGACCAGTTTCACGGAAGACAATTTTTCTGCAGATGGTAGGGGGTGGTTGGGGGGTGGCGGCAGACCTCTGCGGCCAGGTCTGCGGCCTGGGTTGGGGACACAGCACTAAGGGATGAACTACATAATAAAATGCACTGTGTACATTTTTTGATTGGGAGTTTAAACTTTCTCCTGAAGACCTTGGGTGGCCAGGAAAGCATTTGGAGCTTGGGAGTGATATAGATGTGATAAGACATGTTGAAATTGCTGCTTTGTCAACAGCATGGAGCATGATTTGAAGGAGAGCCTGAAGGAAGGCAAGGAGACCTTTTGAAATGTGGCAGTCATCTGTGTTGACCTAAAGTCCATGTTGCTTCACACAATTCCAGCCGAGCAGACCACTGCAGCATCTAGCTAATTGGTTCATTTATTCATTTTGTTGATCAAATATTTATTGGATGCCTACTTCGTGCTCTCATGGAGCTTACGTTTTGGTGGGAGTGGGTGAAAGAGGAAGGGATCATAAAGTAAACAGAGAAGATCAATTTCAGGTAGAGATAAGCACTATTTAAAAATTAAAACAAAGTAGAGAGAGAGTCTGGGTGGGTGGGTTGGGGGAGTGACTTTAGATACAGAGTCAGGGAGGCTCTGTGAGGAAGAGACCTAGGAGCTTAGCTATTAATGATGCGGGGGAAGAGCATTCCAGAGAAGGGCCCTGAGGCAGCAACCAGTTATCAGACTTGTTTAAGCCACATCTCTCACCTAGATTACTGCAGTAGCCACCTAACTGGTTTCCTGACTTTTCTTCTTGCTCTGTCAACGCTTGACACTGCAGCTGGAGCAGTCCTGTCCAAACCCTGAGTGAGATCCTCTCCTTAGAGCCCTCCAGTGACTTCCCACGTCACCGTGGGTACAAAGTGCTTACGGTGGCTGCCAGGCCCTCCCCACCAATCGTCCTCTTTCCCTTGCAATCACGTCTTCTACCCCTTTCCTGCTAGTTCCTTCTGCTCCAGCTGCACTGGCCTCCTTCCTGCCACCTGTACTTGTCACACATGCCCTCCCCTCACTGCCAGGCACTGCACGGCTCGTCCCTCACTTCAGGTCTTGGCTCCTGTGTCGAGGGCTCCCAAGACCATGCGTAGACTTGAAGATTTACTAGACTGCTAGGACTATGCAGCTAGTTGTATTCAGAGTCATGATCTATTAGGGTGAAAAGATACTAAGCAAAATCAGCAAAGGGCAAAGGCGCATGGGGCGAAGTCCAGAAGAAACCAGGCACAAGCTTCTAAGAGTTCTGTCCCAGCAGAGTCACACAGGACACACTTCATTCCCCCATCTGTGGGTTGTGACATGCTGTCTACCAGGAAAGCTTGTCAGCTCAGTGCCCAGAGTTGGCAGCTGGTCGTGTAGGCAGCCTCTGCCTGGTAGGTACCAAAATCCCAGACTCCAGAAGGAAAGCAGGTACTCACCATAAACCACACTGTTTGCACAAACAGTTTAGGTGCAGTGAACTGTTCAGATCAGAGAATGGTAGGAACCCTCACCAAATCTAAGTTCCCGGATACCAACAAAGAGCCTTTCTAAGGATAGCAGTCTCAGGCTTTCTATGTTAAGTGTTTTCTCTACAGCTCAGGTGGCACCTTCTCAGTGAGACCTTCTCTTACTATCTGATTTAAAATAGTAGCTCCCCCACCAGACTCCCTATTTTTCTCCATAGCACTCGTCACTATCTAAGATACTCTATAATCTATGTATTTAATGGTTTATGGTCCGTGTCTCCCATTAAAATGTAAGCTTCATGAGGACAGGAATTTTTGCCTGCTTTGCTTAGCACCAAACCCCAGCACCTGGGACAGTGTCTGGTACACAGTAGGTCCTCAGTAATACGTGAAGGATGAATGAGTGTATGCTTAAAAACAGGAAGACATGACACATGTGGTAAGAACAGAGTGAGCTATGCAGAAAGAGGTAGGAAATGCAGTTGAGCAGACAGCCCACATGAGCCTTGGGAAGGGGCCTAGACAAGCATATTTCTTAAGTGTCATGATGGCCACTGAGTTGCCCAGATCAGATCTTTACCAGTTGCTCAACTTCAGCTCAACTTCATCCTCCACACTGTCCTCAGGGCCAAGTGTCTGTCTCTCTTCCTTTTCCTTTAGTTAATTGGGGGATTTCAAGTCTCTTACTATGTGCATTATAGCACTCCATGATTTTTCTGCCTTAGAGCTTATCACAATTATAATAATTTAATGATTTGTATAATTTAGTTAATATCTGAATTCCTCATTAAACTGAAAATTCCTGGCTTGTTAGCACTATATCCTCAGTGTCTAGCCCAGAACTTAACAAATATTTGAATGAATGACTGCTTTTCTTCAGAGTGCAGATGATCCTGGACTAGGTTCAACTTCCTGGGGACCTGGAACCACCACAGAGCTTTCTCAGGCTCCAGCTAAGACTCGGGTCAGCATCTCCCCAGCCTCCCTCCAGGTTTGGAGCACACAGTGCCAGGCGGTTATCAGTCTCATGATGCCCTGGCTTCTGATGCTTGGCTGTGGATGTTCATTTCACAGGAGCCCTTGGAAAAGGCCCAGCTGCTTGCACTAGTTGGGGACCAGCTCATCCAAAGCCACCATTATGCAGTGGACTTCATCAGGCCCAGGTGTATGGAGCTCAGGCACCTCTGTGATGACTTCATCAATGAAAACAAGAAAAGATATGACATTTTAGGAAAATCCTTGGAATTGCACAGACAGCTAGACAAGGTGAGCAAAAGAAAACTGTGAACAGGATATCTGCAAGATTTTCTATAAAGCAGTTTTAATTCTACTTGCCCTCCCTGCCTCACATGACTGCCGAAAGGATCAAGTACTTTATGTGAGAAAGTGCTCTAAAGGCACTAAAAATTGCAGCTTCTAGGTCATAGAGTTATTGAAGGTAAAAAGAAAACACACACACACACAAAGTGCCCCAGCCATCCCACCACACCCCATTAAAATTAACTAAAGTCCATTTCCCTCTGTGGGGAACCAGACTTGAAGAGTTTCTTTTGGCCTGGCCCAGGGGGCACATTTCTTGATTCCCTTTCAGGTGTACAGAGAAACAAGCACTGTATTTGCAGAGTGCTTCCCTCCTATAAAGGCAAGGGATTGTGAATCCTTTTGGAGAAGGTTAAGTCATGATGACCACTATAACCCCCTGCCATTTATTGAGCACCTTCTCTGTTCTAATCAGGCGCAAAATTACGTTGTCTATTTAATCCCCAAGATAACCTATGAGGAAGGTATTAAAGGCCTCATTGTACAGAGGCAGAAACTGATACTCAGCATGGTTAAGTCAATGGGTCTCAAAATTTAGTATATGAGAATCACTTAGTGAGCTGTTAATAATTACAGATTTTCTGATGCCACCCAGAGACTCAGATTCAGTGGTCTGGGATGATGCCCAGGAATCAGTATTTTAGTAAAGTGTCCAAGTGTTTCGGGTACAGGTGGTGCAGGGACAGCACTAAGAAATTCTGGGATAAATGATTGCCTAAGACCACACATGGCTTAACTAGCGGAAGCCAGATTTGAAGTCAGGACTGCCAGATTCCAAACCCAGAGCTTCTTAGGCTAGACAGCAAGGCCTCACGGAGAGAGGGATGTGCAGACTCTCATGCCCTTCGGAGGTGGCCTCTGTTCCCAGTCAGCAGGAGCAGTGACTTCTGGAGCTTTCCCTGTCAGCTGTTCCCAGGCAGCATGTGGCTGATGGCTGTGAGTCAGCGTGCTCCATTCCCACAGCTGTTTCTGCCATGGCTGTGGGCACCCGCCCAGGCTGTTTACGTCAGCCCATTGCCAAAGGGATTTTAATGTCAATGAAATACAGTTGTTCCAGAAGCAAGTGGCTCAGAAGGGGCTGGTGCATAGCCGGCTGTGTGTGCTGAGCTCGCTGCAGGGTCAGCAGCTGTTTTCCTAACTCCATTTCTGCTCCAGAGATGATAGCCTGGCATGTGTGTGTGTGAGAAAGCAAGTAGCCATCGTAACTCTGTAGAAGACCACAGCGTTTTCTACAGATCTGGACATGAAGTGTAAAGTGTTTTCACAGTATATATCAAAGCATGGTTTCCTATTATTTTGAAAATTAAAAATGTAGGAAGCAGGAGGAAAAAGTTACTCATGGACACCTACACATCCACTACCTCCATCCTTACACAGTGATAATTATTAATTTTGAAATATTTTTATTATTTTTGTTATTCCAAATGTACATACTCAATTTGGATAATTTAAGAAAAAAATAAAGACATCTAAGTTACTTGATACTTTATCTCTTTACATTTTAGAGATAACCACTTTGGAGTGTTATTAATACCTTTTGATTTTTTTTCTCTATTTATATTTATTTACATTGCTTTTCAGGTCATGGTAAAGGGGAATACAGATGTATTTGCACTGGAAGCTTCTTTTTTTATAAATATCCAGGTAGCATAAGGGTCCCCTGTGTTTCTTTTCAGGTGCCTCAGTAGAGTTCCAAAGAGCAAAGAAAACAAGTATTTTATAAAGTTGAATTGTTAGAATTCATAACCTGTCTGATTTCATCCCAGCATCTATATAATTTGAATATGGCTGTGCTGAATTACAAAGCTTTGCATTCTTGGATGCTTCTTTACTAAAGATGAATGCCAATAAATGCGAATATGGATTACCTGGGAATCCAAAGAGGACAGTAGTGTTTTTGTTAAAAGGGGCATTCCCTTCCCCAAGAAATGTAGGGGCCAGGTCTAACGCATCATTAATCACCCTGTCTTCTGGTAACAAATTAGGGTGCAAGACAAATGGCCTAGCAGGTAAACCCAAAAAGCCATCGATTACATTTTTGTATGGTTAGATCAGCCTTAGAAATCTTTAACTGTCTCTTAGAGATGTAGCAATTACTGTTAGGGGAAAGGAGAAGAATGTTTATGTGATTCATTTTACTGAGTGAGTGACTTCCCTGAAAAGTGGACAGATGTAAAATGGGTTTGGACTTGTGCACCTCACACTTTTATTTGCAATGGTTAGACTCCTAAACTTTATGCTGTCTCATGACAATTTCCCATTGTCTCAGAATCCTTATAACACCCTTGTGAGCTCAGATCTGCTGAGAATTGTGGTGGCTCTGAGTTGTGGTGAGGCTAAACATACACTTTCTCTCTTCAAAAGGTCAGCCAATGGTGTGAGGCGGGAATCTACCTCTTGGCTTCCCAGGCTGTAGACAAATGCCAGTCTCGAGAGGGAGTTGACACTGCCTTGAACGACATTGAGACATTCCTGGGCACAGTCAAGGAGTACCAGTTGCCTTGCCCCAAGGAATTTTATAACCAGTTTGAGTTGATACTCACCCAAGATGTAGAGGTAATTTTTCTGGGTTATTTTGATCTTGCGGTTGGGAAAAGGATGGGGAAGAAGGGGAACTTTGCCTGTTGTCTAAAAAAGTCCATGCAGGATATACTGAGCAGGCTGTATTGAGTGCTAACCAGTTCTGGAGCCCTCAGGTGGCCTTTTAGACTCCTGGCCTGAATGTCCTGGCAAAGTGACACTTCATGGTCTGACTCAAATATCACCTTCAGTCAGTCATTTGTCTATAAATACTCATGGGCATTTCTGATGTATCATTCACTATGCTGAGTGCTGAGGACACAGTGATGAACAGAAATAGGCATGTTTCCATCCCTCGTGGAGCTTACAGTTAAGTGGGAGAGCCTGGCATTAATAAAAGAACCACACAAAAGTATGCTGCAAGCTGATAAGTGCACTCAAGGAAGGATTCAGAGTCCTACTGGGTATGTGACAGAGGAACTTGACCTGGACTGGATCAGAAGAGGCTCTTGGGAAAAGTCCCTTGAGGCAAGGTCTGGAGAGTGAGTAGAGAAGATGGGGAGCCTTTCCAGACAGAAGGACAGCATGTGGGAAGACTTTAAGGCTGGGGGGAGTCTGGCACAGTGCAAAACCAAAAGCACAGGGTGGCCAGTGTCTAGAGAGCAAGAGAAGGGTGTGTTGGGTGTGATTAGAGAAAAGCAGATGAGATGGGGCTTTGTGGGCCACATTAAGGAGTTTGGTCTTTATTCTAAGAGTATTGGGAAGCCATTGAAGGATTTAAGCAGGGGAATAACTTGATTGGATTTGCATTTTGAGAAGAGCATTCTTCAATGAAGCCAGCAGGGTTACAGGTAGATCTGGGATCCACATCACCTTGTATGTGCCTCTGTTTTAGAAGCTTCTTTACCTCTTTTGAGTAATAGACTCTATTATGTATCTGATTCACGTATTTTCAGGGCTCCACACACTCAAAGTGATTAAAAGAAGTTTGATTTAGGCACTATTTACAAAGATATGGGCAAGATTTGGGGAACATAGCAAGGGATGGTAAAGCACCCTGGGGCTAGCAAGAAACAGGAAACAGTTGCTACTCCCAAGCCCAAAGGGCCAAGGGGAACCCAGGAAGAGCTGAAGCTGTTACTGTACAAGAGGGCAGCTGGAGGAATTGTGGCCTTGGGTGGAAAAATGCAGTCACTGGTAGAAAAATATATACCATACATACCCCTACTGTTCTTGCTTCCTCTTTCTGACTTCCTGGTGGTGCTTCTCATTGGCCAAAGCCAAATAAAAGCTGGCAAGCTCATCTAATGGAGTTGGTAGAAGTCAGCTTCCTGGGGCATAGAGCAGGGCAGAGAGGATGTAGGGGAGGAATAAACAGGGACTATCCAGCATGCATAACATTTTATAAGTGATTTTAGGAAGTATTCTCAAGTCCATCCATGGACCCAGGCCAAGAACCTTTGCTCTAATGTGACACACATAAACCTGTATTCTAGTTGTTTATTTTTAATATCTGTCTGTCTTATTACACAGGGAGCTCCTTAAGGGCAGGGTTTTTGCCTCATCCATCTCTGTGGCCCTGAGCCTAGCCTGTTCCTGGTGTCCAATCCATGCTTGCTGAACAAGTGGGCGGGCAGAGTGGCTATGTGGGCAGAGGGCGGTGAGAGCAGCTGGGCGTGGAGCTTTACCTTTGTACTGTTCTTTCCTGTCTACTCCCAGCGAGTTTTGGTCATGACATATGAACTCAGGTGGGGTGGGGAGTAAGCAGGCCACCTTTCCCCAGCATGGGACTCTTCCATTTCCCTGTACAAGGGACAAAGAGGAGGCCCATGTGGCATACACATGCTACGTTGCTGACACAGTATCGGCAGCCCCAGGTTAAATCCCTAAGGCAGAACAGTCTCAACCCAGCCCTGATTCCATTAGCTGATCAAATAAGTGTAGCAGGTCTACCAGGGAGACGTGTGGCTGCAGCTGCACTTCTGCCTGGCTTCAGCAAACTCCCCCACCACACCACCCACTAGAAATGAATACAAATTAATAAACCACCTCTGAGAAACAGGCAGAAATGTGGGCAAAGGGAAGGATTGGAAGAAGAAGAAAAAAATCAAAGCCCACATTTTCTTCTTTTAGTTTAGAGTAAAATTCTAGGTTATAAGATTTAAAATATCCTATTGTGTCAGAGAGTGAGATTTGCACACTGGCGAATAATAATTTTGTTGTCAACATTAGCACTGTATATGTACAGAAATATTCCTAGATATGTGTTGGGTTGGTATAGACACATGTACTTCCTTACTTTGACAGTTGAGGAGGCCTAGAAGCAATGAAACCACAGTGTCAGTAGGTACACCCAGCACCAAGATCTTGTTTTCTAACATCATTCTCCAAGAAACAAAGTCAGGGCTCCTTCAAGAAATGGCTGCTTCTAGGACTGGGGCAGGAAATATACAAGATGATCCTGGATCATCTTCTAGTGCCAAAAAGTAAGCAGGTGCTAAAATCCAAAACAAAACAGCACACTACAATGAGGGGGCATAGAGCCACTGAAAGCACTTCCCATGGCCAGTGCTGGGACAATTCAAGCAACAGAACTAATAAAATATTATGGTATTGAATTATAACCCAAAGTATAAAATCTCTATTTTATCTGTGAATCCATAATGATATAAATACATGATGGAATAATTAAATAAATCAGGGGAGACGAAATTGATCTCTCATGCAGAAGGATTCTAAATTATTTATGCAGATACTCTGCCCACGAGAACGGGGAGCATAACTTCCCTACTCCCTGAGTGTGAATTCCACATAGTGAATTACTTCCAAAGAGTATGAAAATAAATAAAATGAAAGAAAAGAGTAACCTTACAGTGGACAAACCTAACAGATATCACCTTACCCAGGTGATCCAGGTCAACATTGACATGATAAATCATGGAGATAGAACGTACCCATGACACGATGTGATAAAAACGGCGATTTACCTCTGTGAGTTTCTTCCCCAAACCCACAGCCCCAGTCTAATCATGAGAAAAACATTAGGCAAATCCCAGTTAATAGATATCCTATGAAATGCCTGACCAGTACTCCTCAAAACAGCCAAAATCATCAAAAACAAGGGAAATCTGAGAGACTATCACAGCCAGTGGGGGACTAAGAAGATGTGACAGCTAAACATAATGTGGTATCTTGGTGTGGTGGTGGTGGGGAATCTAAAGTATCAACTTTATTTAATTATAATGTGCCAATATTGGTTCATTAATTGTAACAAATGTACCTTACTGTACTTACCATGATGTAAGAGGTTAATAATAGAGAAGACTGGGTATGAGGTACATGGAACTCTGTATTACTTTGTAATTTTCCCATAGATCTAAAACTACTCTAAAAATAAAATTTATTTTTAAAAAATTGGTATTCTATGTCTATAAACGGAGTCTGTTACATTGGAGGCACAGTGGCTATCAAAACTGCATCCGAAATTAGACTGTCGTTCTTAAAGCAGCCACCCTGTCACTGTCAGAGACTCTTAAAGTGCTTTTTCTTAATGCATTGCCATTTTGCCACCCTCGTGGTGCTGCTGTTTTGGTTTCTCTTCCTCGTTCACTTTCACTGCCTAATCCAGAGAGTGAAAAGATCTCAGTAGCAAACAGCAAAATACAATTCTTCTAACATTCACTGGGTGCCCAGTTTGTGCCAGGTATGCTGTGCTCTTTTCTGGGAATAAAATAGTGCAAGTCACAGTCCTTGAAATCAATAGGTAGGTGCTGGCAGTTTAGTGGAAGACAAAACACGTCCCCAGTCTCTGCTCGTTGGTCTGAAAGCACATGGAATAGAGGGACAGTGGGGCACACAGGGCAGGCAGTGGTCAGCTTGGCCTGAGAGGGCCACGGTATTCCACATAGGAGAAGGCACCTAAATTTAGTCTGGAAGATTCAGTAAAAGTTTTTTCAGGGAAACAAAGTGGGGCAGGGAACCTCAGCAAAAGGAACAGAAGGTGCAGAGGCAGTGAGGCTTGGAACAGAAGGGCATTTGGGGAACTACCCCAGCTGGAGGACAGGGGTCTGGGGGTAGCAGGTACTGACAGGGAAGAGCCTAGTGCTCCAGGACCAGGAGTCTGGACTTTATCCTGACACAGAGCAGAGCCCCTGAAGGGCTTTTAAAACAGGGAAGTTATATCATCAGATATATATTTTAGAAAGATAATTTTGATTGTAGTAAGAAGAATGAATTTCCAGGTAGAAAGAAGAAAGGGGGAAGTGCAGCTGTTAATCTTGTGTGAACATCCCCGTTATCTGAGTTTAGGGATTTAGGGCTACTTCCGACTGTCTCACCACTGCCAGTGTGTACCTGGGACCTTGAGGGGAAATGGCAAAGGTGATCCAGGTCCTGTCTAGTCCAAGTTCTGAGTCATTGAGCTCTGGCATGGGCGCTGACTCCACACCAGGGCTGTCCACTGTACATCACCAATTTCACAGTTATTCATTCAGTCAGATTTCTTGATCTTTGTGCAGCAATTGACACCCATGTCTCAGATTCCTCAAGCTCATCACCAGGCCAGAAGGGCATGAGTTGCTGATTACCAGATGTTGTCATCATCCCCCTAGGAGTACAGATTGATGCTGTCCTCACATTGACGTAAAGGAGCTTGGTTTCTTTGGGGACTTGGACTCATAGCTGTGTTATGAGAACCTTTAGTAAATTGTACAACTTAACTTCCTGACACCAGAGAGTACCTTCTCTGAAAAGAACCTTTCAGTACAGACTCTGAGCTTAGTCTAGACTAGGGATCAGCAAACTGCAGCCTTGTGGGCCAAAGTTGCTTGTCACCTGTTTTTGTAAATAAAGTTTTATCAGAACACAGCCACACTCATCATTTATGTAATATATATGGCTGCTTTCATGTTACAACAGCAGAGTTCAGTAGGTGCGACAGAGGCCAGATGGTCTACAAAGCCTAAAATATTTACTATTTGGTCTTTTACAGAAAAAGTTTGCTGACCTTTGGTCTAGACCAGCACTGACCAATAGAAATATGATGCAAGCCACATATGTAATTTAAGATTGTCTAGTAGCCACATTTTAAAAAGTGGAAAGAAACAGGTAAAATCAATTTTAATAATGCTTTATTTAACGTATATGTCCAAAAATATTATTTCAATGTGCAAGCAATATAAAAATTAATGAAATATTTTACATTCTTTCTTCAAGCGGAGTCTTCAAAATCCACTATGTATTTTATACCTCCAGCACATCTCAATTCAGACTAGCCACATTCCAAGGAGTCGCCAGCCACATGTGGCTGTTACTGCAGTGGTTCCTGCAGTGGACAGTGCAGGTCTGGAGTCTGACACCCTCTAAAGAGTGAAACCCTCCCCAGATCTTGGTCCAGAGACCAGCCTTCATAGGCCTTCAGGCTGTAGGGGAATAGTTGTTCTACAGCTGACATTCCTGCACTATGGAAGCCAGGTTGCTCTGAGTCCTACCTCAGGGCTGACTCTTTGTTCTTTTTATCAGAAGATAGCCCAGCATAAAAAAGACAAATTTACCTTTCTGGTTGCAAAATGTGCCAACCTCCCTGGGTATATACTAGGCCTGTACTTTGGGGATTAGTCATCCTCAGATCACCCTGCATTGCTTATGGTGGTTCAGCTCTTCTGGTACTGGGTGCCTTCTTTGGTGGTTAAAATTATACAGGAGAAGGATGCCAGAGTTGATATGACAAAGCGAAGGCTGTCTGCTTCCTCATATGCACCAGAGCTGGAGGGATGTCCTGCTGGAAATGGGCTAGAAGGAACATAGCTGGAGGCAGGACTTGGTGTAACTCAGATTTCCAGCTCTTCTTGTTTTCCTGAGCCTCTGTCGTAGAACTGACAGTTAAGGAAACATCTGTGAGCTCCATCTTTTCTCTGGTATTTCTTCAGTTTATTACTTTTTTACTTAAATAGAAGGAGTCACAAAGAATAAACTTTAGTATGTGTCCTTTTTTTTTAAAAGGGTTTTCATGGTTCCCTTGATCCTGCCTCAGAATTTAGCCAATTCTTTCCCTTACAATACTTAAAACTGTTTTCTCCATCAGAGCCCTCATTCAGGGTACCTTTCTTATTAATATTTTGATCCTCCTGTTTTGTATGTTGGTCTAATGCCCTTTGTCTGTGGCCTATAGCACGGACATGGACATGGCTAGGTGGATATTTATCCACTCACCAAATATTCATTGAGCACCACCCTGTGCCAGAGAGTGTTCCAGGCACTGGAGATACTGTAGTGAAAAAGATATGGTCATTGCCCTCAAAGATCTCCAATGGGAGATGCTGACTCTTAGAAGCACAATTCTGGAGCATTGCAAGATGTGCAGTGACTTGCATGAGGATGCCCAGAGGAGGGTCACCTGAGGGAGATAGGGCTGGGTGGAAGAGGGGAAGATGGGAGAAAGGGAATGCTGCATGTCCTCAGGCTCAGTACAGGGAAACCTGTTCATCATGATTTGCTTTTGTTACTGCAGGCAAAAGCCCAGAAAGTCTTGCAGAAGATGAATGATGTGCAGGAAATATTTCACAAGAGGCAAGTGAGTCTGATGAAACTGGCAGCCAAACAGACTCGCCCAGTCCAACCTGTGGCCCCTCATCCTGAGTCATCCCCAAAATGGGTCTCATCAAAAACCAGCCAGCCTTCCACTTCAGGTAGATTATTTGGGGGAAGGAACCTTTGTGATTTTTGTGCTTCATCAGCACCCATGAGGATTGAGATCGTGGTTATCTAAGGTGGATAATGATCAGTATTTTGAAGATGTTATTTAAAACAAACTACAGATATAGCATAGTGCTGACACTGAAAACAAACACTTAGATAAATAACACTGAATGCCTGGATACAAGGAGAAGCTCATAATCTGCTAATGGAATAATATAAGTAAAGAAATAACATTAGCATAAAATAGACTGTATTAAGGACCTTAAAAGGCCAACAAGTTATTAGCAATGGAGTGGTAAAATTGGTTCTTTGAGAAGATAAAAAAATAGGTAAGTCCTTATGCCAATACCAGGTAGTTTTGATTACTATAGCTTATAAGTAAGCAGTAAGATCAGGTAATCTAAGTGTTTCAACTTTGTTCTTTTTCAAGATTTTTTGTTTCTTTTAGGTCCTCTTCATTTCCATATAAATTTTAGAATCACCTTTCAATTTCTTCTGGGATTATGACTGAATCTATGGATCAATTTGGGCAAAACTGTTACCTTACCAATATTGATTCTTCCAATTAATGAATTATAACTCTCCATTTATTTAGGGCATCTTTAATCAACAATAGTAGTTTTGAGTATAAAAGTCCTAGGCATTTTATATTTTTTAACCCTATAGTAAATGGAATTTACCATATATAATAATAAGAGTATATTTCTAAAAATAAATATTTCTACATAGAAATATAATCATGTCAACTGTGAATAAGGATGCCTTTACTTTATCTGTTTCAATATTTATGCCTTTTTTCTTATCTTATTATAGTGGCTAGGACTTCCAGTCAAGCGGATATCCTTCCTTTCTCAATATTAGGAAAGAGGTCATGTTTAAACTTAAAGTATGATGTTAGCTATAGGTTTTTCACAATTGTCTTTTTTCAGATTGAGGAAGTTCTTCCCTTCTATTCCTATTTTTTCAGAGTTTTTATCATGAATGATAACTGAATTTTTCAGATGCTCTTTTTGGTACATATATTGAGATGATTATATGGTTTTCCTTCTTTCTTTGCTAATATGATGGATTCCAAAGATATATTTTCAGATGTTCAAACAACTGTACATTCCTGGGATAAACTGCTCTTGGACATGATGTGTATATCATTTATTGCATCATGTATTATGAAGCTCTGTTATTAAGCATATACATATTCATAATTTTTATATCTTCTAGATATATTAACACTTTTATAATTACAAAATGTCTCTCCTTTCCTCCTTATTTCTAGTAATATTCTTTAAATCTATTTTGTCTGCTATTAATGTTGCCATTCCAGGTTTCTTATGCTTAGTGCTTGCATGGTGTATTTTTGTCCATTCTTCTGTTTTTGTATTTAAAGTATACTCCTTGTAGGCAGCATATAGTTGGGTCTTATCTTTTTAATACAATCTGTTCCCCTCTGCCTTGTACTTAGAGTATTTAGTCCATTTATATACAGTGTAATTATTGATATGGTTGGATTGAGAGCTATTAATACTATTTTATTATTTGTCTCAGGTATTTTTTATTCCTCTTTTCCTTCTTTCCTGCCTTATTTTGTGTTAGTAAATATTTTTTAGTATTTTGTTTTAATTCCTCTATCAGTTTGTTAGCATACCTCTTTGCACTGTTTTTCCCCAAAATATTTCTCTAGGGATTATTATATGCATTCTTATCACAATCTATTCTGAGTTAGTATCATACCACTTTATGCAAAATATAGGAAGTTTGCAACAGTATAGTTCTATGTCCCCCATCCTCTGTGCTATTCTTATCATAAATATTACATCTACATATGTTAAAGTCCCCACTATGGTATTATAATTTTTGTTGTAAATAATCATATATCTTTTAAAGACATTAAGAAAAATAAATATATATTTATATTTACCCTCTTATTCACCATTTCTGGAGTTCTTTATTATAAATCTGAATTACCATCTTGTGTCATTTCTCTTCAGAATAAAGAACTTCTATTAGCATTTCTTGATGGGAAGTCTGTTAGCAATAAATTCTTTCAGTTTCTGTTTATCTGAAATTTATGACTTTTGCAATTCTCCATTTTGCGATTTATAGTCCCTGTCTTCGATCATATATTCCACTTTTTAGATATAAGCCTTGATAATGATTGATAACAAGTACATTTCTTTCCTAAATTTTTCTATGCAAACACACACACACACTTGATGTATACATTCATACACATGCACACTCAGACATATTTGTGCACACATACCACAGACACACACACACACACACAGACATCCTTCTTGGATGGTTGGATATAGGACTTAGTTCTCTTGACCTCTCATCTTTCCTCAAACTAAACTATGTTTACTGCTATGACTTGGCCTTATTCTTTGCTTCAAGGCACATATATTCATTTCAAGTAAATAAAGCAAGAATGAGAGATTGCTTCTCATCTTTTCAAACACAAGTTTTCATGATGGATGATGCTCTTCTAGCACCTCTTGTATTATCGTGGATACAGCTGGAGCACATTCTACTAAGTGAAGTATCACAAGAATGGAAAAACAAGTACCACATGTACTCACCATCACATTGTTATGAACTGATCAACATTTAAGTGTACATATAGTAGTAACCTTCATTGGATGTCAGGCAGGTGGGAGGGGGAGGAGGGAATGGTTATATTCACCTAATGGGTGAGGTGTACACCGTCTGGGGGATGGACACACTTGAAGCTCTGCCTCAAGTGCAGCAAAGGCAATATATGTAACCTAAACATTTGTACCCCCATAATATTCTAAAATAAAAAATTAAAAAAAGATATTGCTCTTTCTTAGGGTAAACAGATCTTCATCATGTCTAAATGGGTGGTCATTGACCTAGGTCAGACAACTAACTCACTTTCAAAACAATCCTACACTTTTATTTTTGGAGAGTAACTACTAAGTGTGATTCAGATAAGTAATTGATAGAATTTTCAAACACATTTGTCTGATTTCTTGGTAACTGAGCCTGTGCCAAGATAAATGATGGTATTTCACAGTATAAGGAAGGTGAGTAGAGGAGCTTAAGAGATGAGAGCTGGAATCTCAGCTCTAACTTTTGGTGGTTGAGTTCTTTGGGTACAACATTTAATATCCCTGAAGTTCATAAGGAATGTGAAAAAACTTTTTATTGCCAAGTGGCTATAACAATAGCTAGAATGTATTGAGCACTTACCATAGTCTACGTGGTTTATGCATATTAACTCGTTAAAGCCCCATAACATCCCTTTACTGTAGGCTTTCTCACTTTGTAGAGGAAGAAGCTAAGGCACAGAGATTACACAGATCACATGTGTCTTGTGCACAGAAGAGCAAGGTTTGAACGTTGGCAATGTGGCTTCTGTGGCTTTGCCTTTAGCTGCTTCACTCTGCCTACAGCGTCAAGGGCTGGTGCTTCTCCGTCACGGTGTCACCAATCACAGAGCACGCATTTCTAGCATCCAGTCATCATGCCTGGAATCACTCACTTTACAAAGATCCTATAGAGAGTGAGGAGCCCAAAGGATTGTTCATTATTATAAAGCAGCAGCATTGGTCACATAACTCAGGGCAGCAAACAGTGTACTTTTCTACAATTTTCAACATAACAGTTATGAAAAGCCCACAGAAAGCCCCAGATGCTTCCAGTTGGCTCATAGAATGTGAGGGCTGGGAGGGGCCTCTGGAGGCCGGATAGTCAACCTCCATCAAGTCTATCATAGATAAGAATCAGGGTGACATGTTGGTGGCATTAGATGATAGCATTTTGGCCATGGGACCTAGAAATGCTCAAATTCTGCTTCATATTTGTTAGTCACACGTATCCTGTGAGTTTTCCAAAGAAACTGCATACACAGGGGTGGTGACAGCGACAAATAAGAACTCAAAGTACTGCTTACCTATTAGCCTTGTAGCCGTCACCTCCGATACTCGGTACAGTGGATTACAAAGGCTTGAGACTGAAACCAGGGCTTCTCTTTCCTAGGTCCTAATGTTACTACCAAATGGCCATGGAGCCTGGAGAAGGGATATACCCCAGGTGTCTAGGGTCCTGAGGGAAGGAGAGAAGGCAGATGGAATGACTGAGAAAAGATAGCAAAAGCAAGACAGCCCAATTCCTTCCTGCCTCAGCTAACTGACTCTACCACATAGCCCTCTGATCCACTGATGAACATGGTTCCATCAGTTCTGGAATCCAATCATTATGCCATCAGATTAGCAACAACTCCTTCTTCTGGCTAGGGCAGGCATGGGCATCCCCTCCTAATTTAATTATAGTATGATCACGTGTGTGTATGTACAAAGAGAGAGAGCATTTTATAGAAGACTATAGGAAAATATACCGAGTGATTATGCTTAAATGGTAAGATTTTGGTATTTTTCACATTTTCGGTAATAAACCCAAATTAATTACCTTTTAGTGGAAAAATATATACAATGTGTTACCTAGAATTTAGTCTTCTAATCCCAGAACAACATCAAGTGCGATAGTACGCAGTACAAACGATAGCGGCCAAAGCGGCAGTGCATAAAAGACCCATGAAGTTTGTACCAGCCAGGGAAGACTCCATGACGAAGTCTGGGCCTGAAAAATGGGACTGATGGAAGTTCTGTCGTTTTTACCACATTGTATTTACTGAGTTGTTGTGGTTTGATGTTTCAGGTAGTGCTGGGCGTGACTTTTCTCTCTTCTGCTCACGTGTCAGGCCCCTGGAGGGAAGACTTTCTTTTCTGAGTCTTTCCTTCACCCCCAATTCCATCCACCACCTAGGAAAGCACCTCAGCAGCTCAATTAAGCTTTGTTAGTCAATCACGTCAACACGGCCCACCTCTTCGTCCAAGCCAGGCAGCGTGCTCTGAGTTATAATTGATACGTTGAATGACCAAATTAATGGCACATTTTCTTGATCCCTCTAGCTCCTCCTCTGAGAACATCTGAGGAACCTCATACAGAGACAGATTTGAACTCCCTGGAAAAGGAAAATGATGAGACTAAATTTGAAGTCAAGGTAAAATCACCTTAATTTTACTGATAGACATTTCTGACATGACAGAAGATTGCTGCCATAGTTATCAATAAATCCACAAATTGCATTCCCTGTCCTGTCTTTCCCATCACTTCCAGAAGATGTGCCCACAAAAGCCCATAGCACAGACTCTTGCTTCCTAGAGCTAAGATTTGCAGGATTGTTTTCCTTTCTTTTCTTTCTTCTAATTGCAACTAGAAATGAAAACTGGACATGTATGTAATTGGTGGTAGATACTGTTTTATTGAAGGAATAGTCATTTTATTTATTTCTATAATCTGACTTCATATTTAAAATTGGTTGAACAATGTGTGGTTCATGTATAAAAAAGCATGACAGAATTGCCTAGCCACACACACACAAGTGCCTGAATAACTGGTGAACTCTGGACAAGCTCAGTGGATTGTGCCAATGTCGATTTCTTGGTTTTGATATTATTCTAGTTGTGTAAGATTGGAGAATTTGGGGGAAAGGGCACATGGGATTTCTCGTTTCTTTGCAACCTCATGTGACTGACTATATATAATTATTTCAAAATAAAAGTAAAAACCAAAGCATAAGCTTTGCAATTAGGCAAACCTGGGTTTGAGCAACATGACCTCTCTAAACCTCAGTTTCTCATCTGTAATAATGGGGATAACAACAGATACCTCCTGAAACCGTTTTTGACCATCAAATGAAAGTTTGAAAATTGCCAAGCACTATATAATATTCAAGTAACATTATATTTAGAAACCCAAGTAAAATGAATTGTGAATATATATTGCTGTACAGCAACCTCAGAAGTAGTTCCCTTTCCCCTGCCTCACTGAAAATTAAATATCCAAGTGGCTGAATGGTTCTGAAGCCCGATGCCTACTGACCATGGGCTCAAATGGACTTCAGCAACAGTTTAGATTCATCATCAATCCCTAATGTATCTGAATATAGAACCCCACAGGGACTCAACTGACGTTTATGGAGTTAGGCAGAAAGCAAATCTTAGGCTTTTCTTTCTGGAGGCAGAAACGATGTGAGAACTAGAGTTCTTAGCACACTTTTCTTAGAGAGAGAAAGCTGCATTCTTCTGCCAATTTGTTTAGTCATCCTGTGTTCTGGGCAGATTAGGATATGCCATTGCTGTTTCTGCATCCCTCATGGTTGGACAAATTGTATCACCATGTCTTCTCAAGTTAGGAAACAGTTTGCAATTTCATATTGTCTTGATCAGTCATTTTAAAAAGTAGATAGCAATTTTTTGAAATGGGTAAACATAATGAGACTTCATCTGGCTTGACACCTATGAAGTCTATAGAATCATTGAGTAATATTAACACGGTTTAAATGTGATCATCTTCAAAAGTGAACATCAGCCTAACCTTTTCTGCACCTCAGACTTCTGAGAGAATGTCACCTCTGAAGGTAAGGATGGTGTCACATGCACTGCAGCCCAGATTTGGCTGAACTAATATAATATGCTGTTGCCATTGACTTACAATGTGATTCAAACTCACTTCATATCTCTTTGACTTACTTTGCCCATCTTCAGACAACATATTTATGACCTTTACACTTTATAAAGATGCTATCAAACCAGGCATGGTGGCATTTGTACCTGTAGTCCTAGCTACTTGGAAGGCTGAGAGAAGAGGATCACTTGAGGCCAGGAGTTCCAAGTGGCAGGGAGCTATAATCATGCCAACCTGGGCAACAGAGCAAGACCCTATCCCTTAAAAAATATATATTTGTGTGTGTGTGTGTGTGTGTGTGTGTGTGTGTATAAAGATGCCATGGGAGTTTTAGGTACATGGAAATTCTCATATAATATAGGAAGCCAAATTACAATGATTTATTTCAGTAATTGTGAACAATAAGTACAAGTGCCATTGTTTTATTTGCGTAAAAAAAATAGACAATTCAGGAGCAGAGGTGGAGACAGAATCAAAAGCCCATAGGCTTGGAAAGTGTTGAGTAGAATCCAAGAAGCTCTGATCATTGGACTTTTGGTTTCTTCCTTCTTCTGCTATGCTGTTTATTTAATTCAGACTCTAAGCCCATCCTGCTAAGATGCTATCTCCCTCAGTAGTTAGGCAGCTTACAAACAGTATGGGTACTGTTAAGCAAGCACAAGGACATAATAAGATATCCTTCTGTGCTTTAGTTGTTTTCCCCCTTACTGTTGATTCCTTTGTATGTTTAGTGAAGGGTTTTCCTCACAGCAGCATGCATGTTAACAGTCACAGTGGAGGAGGAAGCAGAGTAGGAACAGAGGCTGGTCAAACTTCTGCTTAGAAAGACCAAGGCTATGAGAAACACATGTAAGCAGAATCCAAAGTCATGAACAACACGAATAGGAAGAAAGTGGATTTATGTGCAAAATCCCCAAATCCTAGACTTAGAAATGAATTTAGGACCAATAAATGCAATTAGTGTTTCACAAGTTGGGTATTATAACCAGTGAAATCGTTATTCCTAAATATATAAGAAAAGTAATAAGGAAAAGGTAGGTTAGAAAAAAGGTTTAGATTCATGTCCACCTGAACCATGGTTTTTTAAAAGGGGGATAGGATGGTAGACTAACATCAAGAGGAATTATTGCTGCTTGTGTTTTGTGGCCATTGTCCAAGGCAGATGACCAGGATGGGTAGAGCATGCGTCTAACTCTGAGTGGCAGTTCTGACATCCTTTTTGGCCTTAGGCCTAGAACTCAGAGATGAAATGAAATCACATCCAGTCTAGTAGAATGAATCATGACATTATAATAAATGCCATTCCTTGTACTCAAGATTAAATTCTCTAAGAAAAAATAGCTGTGAAGCAAAACCATCCATAATTGGCAGAGTCACTGATACTCACTACCCACAACTAAAATCATGACGTGGCTTCAGCATCGTCAGAGAAACCCTTCCCTCTCCTCTGGCAGGGTGATCCTCGCTGTGCCAGTTCTCAGGAACTTGAGGAGCTAAACTTAACAAGGTCATTCAGACTGTCCCGAGGCCATCTGGCAATGGTGTTGCCACATGCTCAGCTCACTGACATCATCTGGGAAAGCCCTGCAGTGGAAGAGATATGCTGCGGTTGCTGGCAATAGTGACATGGCTATTTCCTGTTCTTCATGACACAGACTAGAAGCTGCAAGTGTAACTCACAGAAGCCGCTTTCCCTGGGCTGCTCACATCACAGCCTCTCTGGAAGCTGGAAAGAAACCAGAGGTTGACAATTTCTTTTTCCTAAATATGGAACCACAGAATAAATGAAGAGCTAACCATGGTCCTGGGTAGCTATTAAAGTCATTTAAAGTATCAGAAGTCTTTGTAGGCTTCTGAGCTAATAGGCTCCCTAATATATATATATATATTGAAAGCAAGAATCGAAAGGGAAAGAAGAGGTGAGAGGAGGGCTACCAATACTGATTGAGGGCTAGAATTGTATTGGGGACTATATGTATCTGATTTCATTTTCAGGCCTCAATATTTTGTGAGGAATACAGTGTTCCCACTGTACAATTAATCTAAGTATGTGCCTAAACTGTTGGTGCAGTTTTGTCACCTTAACGGTAACCGGTTTATGCCAGTGGCCATGAGGCCTGGAGAGCGAGTGGCGATGAAATCGTGAAAGGCATTTTCCACAACTTGTTGAGAATTGAGTATATTTTCTTGCAAGAAGTGGTCCAAAGCCTGGAAGAAGTGGTAGGCGGTTTGTGCAAGGTCTGGGGAATACGGTGGATGACAGAGAGTTTCCAAGCCCAGCTGCTGTAGCTTGAACTGTGTTGTTTGTGTGACATGTGGCTAAGCATTGTTTTGTCTTGCAAGAGGATTGGCCTGTCTCTATGGACCAGTCTTGGCTGTTGAATCACAAGCATCCTCATCATTTTATCTAGTTGTTTGCAGTAGACATCTGCTGTAATTTATTGACCAGGTTTCATGAAACTGTAGTGGACAATACCAGTGCTGGGTCACCAGACACCACTAACTTTTTTGGTGAATATTTGGTTTTGGACTATGTTTTGGCACTTCATCTTTATCCAACCATTGGACTGAATGCTTGCAATTTCCAAAAATAATCTATTTTCATCACATGTAATAATATGGTATAGAAATGGTTCACCTTTATGCCATGACAACAAAGAAAGGCAACCTTCAAGACAATTTCTCCTCTGGTGTTCATTTAATTCATGCAGAACCCATCTATCCAGCTTCTTTACCTTGCTGATTTGTTTCAAATGGTCCAATATTATTGGAATAGTAAAGTCAAATCTTGCTGCTAATTCATGTGTAGGTTGTGATGGCTCCGCTTCTACTACAGCTTTTGGCTCATCATTACTCACCTTGGTCTCAGGTCGCCCAGATGGCTCATTTTTAAGATTCAAATCACCAGCATGGAACTTCTCAAACCATTGCTATACTGTGGGTTCATCAGCCACATCCTTCCCAAACACTTGGTTGACAGTTTGAGCTGTCTGTGCCACATCGGTTCCAAGATGGAAGTCATGTTTGAAAATAACGTGAATTTTTACTTATCCATGGTTTCACAAAAATTGCTCTAAAAATTTTTTGAAAGATAATCACAAGTCAAAATGTGAATTTGAAAGAATAAAATAAAATAACACAATAAAAATAGAACAAGAAATGTCAACGTGAAATGTCAGAGATATCAACTGTCAAACTTAGTACTTAAGGAAATTGAACATTTCATACTTAATAACCTAATATTTCCAATCATTTATAATATAAAGCAGAATGATGTATCTACAGTAAATGGAAGGTAATATGTTAGAGGGCAGAAGAGAGATCAAGAATGTTGGGGGTGGCTCTCAAAGGAGATGACATTTGAATTCAACTTTAAAGAATAAATACGACTTTGAAAGGTAGACAAGACAGAGGAAGGGCATTCTAGAATAGAAAAGGGTCTAAAGTCTCAAAAGTCTGAAGGGGCATAGGCTATTCTGGGAATGGTTCAAAAACAATGGGAAAGTAGACCACAACAGGTTCCTGAGGGCTTTG